AGCCTCTCTTAGCATACCTAATACACTGCGCATAACTACATTTATCTGCATGTCTTTTAGGAGGGTCACTACTACATTCTAACATTTGTTTTCAAGTCCAGTCAAAAATTTTCTATTAAACTTGGGTGTGAAGTTTGACTGGGCAATTCCACCACATGCTTGGATTCAAACCCCTTTAGTTTAGCTCTGCCTCTAGGACTTTCTATTGGAGAATAAACCTCCACTCTGGTCTATTTTTCTTTGCAGCCTGCAACAGATTTTCCTCAAAGATTGCTCTGAACAGCCTCTAGTGTCCCTGGTGAAGAAACCCTTAAGGAATAATGCAGCTGCCAAAATGTTTCACAGTGGATATTCTGTAACATGTGATTGTCCATTTAGACCAAAAACTTCTATGTAAATCTCATATGACCAGAGCCCCTTCCATTATATGTATACTGTCTATACTGGCCTTATGCAAACTTCAACCCATGACTTCTTTTTCCTTCAACAAGATATTTCTTCTTGTTCCTCTACCAAAAACATTATATTTGTGAAGTGTATGATTAGTACTTGTTCTGTGAACAGATTTTCCTATATTACCTGGTGCTTTCTCCAGCTCTTCCAAAGTAACCATTGACTGCTCCCCTACTTCCCTGATAAACCAACTCCTATCCTTGCTGACCGTTTAGTTAGAAGTAGAGATGCACCAATCCACTACCTGGATTGGATATTGGCTCCATTTATATAACTAACCCCTGCCTGCTGTGCCTCTTGGTATTTATACTTTGTGTTTACTTAAGTTTTACCAAACCTCTAAGGCCTTTACAGAACGGTCACAATAAACTAAACTAACAGATGGACTGAATTTACCAATAAGGAGACATTAAAAGGTAAATTAATTTAGGGTTATCTTAATGGAGCCAGTAAATATAACAGTACAGCACACTTTTACTATGTTTATTGTAAAAACAGTTGGGATTCATCAATCACTGTCCTTCCACTTCCATTAGGACCTCTTAGTGTTGGACTGACATCAAACCAGGGCTCTGTTCGGTGCATTTTGGGACAAACGGTGGTTATGCTGAAAAATGTCAAAATTATACTAAAAATTTAGGCAGATAAACTGACTCTTAATGGGACTAAAAGCTGCAGTATTTTTAAACACATTTACTGCCCTATTTCCATGTAAACATGAGAAAATGTGAACCTCGCCTTCTGCAGACCCTGCCAGCAGACAGAGAGCCAGCTTTGAAAGTAGAGGTGAAGGGACCAGGTTTAGCCGAACCAGCTGATGGTCAGAAAGGTGCTTCTCTAACCGATGAAATGCAGCATTGCTGCTCTGTGGCATAGCCGCTTCACCACAGCTGCAGCTGAATCAGAGCAATGTCACTGGGTAGTTTGAATATTAAGGGGAGATATGGACATCACCTCCAACATGGAGAACAGATCAAAAGAAAAAACGAACTGTGCTCAATTATTAAAGTGACCAGAAAAATATATAAGTGTAGCATAGAATAAAACAAATAAAATAAAAAAAAACACTACATTAATCTTATTTAAAAAGAATTTAGCTGATAGATCGGCAAACTCCAATAATGAACGCTCAAGTTCTTCGTTGAAAAGTGTCAAAATGCAACAAACATCAAGAAGTATAAAAACTATCTCCAGGCATGTCAAAGTGTGTGCCCCAACAATAAAGGTCATAGTTGTTACAGAGAACGAATACTGCTGGGCAACAGAGCAAGCTGAGCTGGTTGCACACACAACTCCATATGGCTGGATCTTTCATTGACTTAAAGCCTCCATGTTCTTCTGAACACGCTTCTCCTCCACATTCCACCCACAGGCCAAAAACAAGCAGATTACACTGATCAGTGATGAGCAGGGGAGCTCATAGAGACTGTGGTAAATGGACCCAAAATGAGAGATTAGGTTGGCAAATGTTGCCCCATCCTGATCCAGGAGAAGCACATCCTGGAAAGTCAGTCTTACTGTAGGATCTGATTAAGTTCCCTTTAAAGCACCTTAAAAAAAATCACATTTTGTGAATAAATAAATACAAACTGAAATGAATATATAAAAGTAAATGAATCTAAAAAAAAATACTTAAGATTCTCTATAATGGCTAATAAAGGATTTTCTCTTAAAGATGACCATTAGAATAGCCAGAGGAGTAAAGGATGGCCATCTAAGATGAATGTCTAATTTCATTGGACTAAAGAGAATCCAACTTGTTTTAATGTGATCTATGTTTACATGAATCAGCTTGGTCTAATATGAGGTGTTATCCTGCAGGTTTCTCTGCACATATGACTGGCAGCAGTTGGTGAGGAACACCACTGACAGCTGACAAATTCAGCCTTCAATCACTAATACAATTTCTAAGGAGCAATCTGGACTCTTAATGCTAATCTTAATAACCCTTAATAAAACAAAGATCTTTTTAAACTCTCTTTTTTATTATTAAGGTTTAGGGTTGTAAACATATTCAGTGACTCCAACTCCCGTTCACACCATGAAAGTTCACGTTTCATTAAAAGTGGACACAAAAAAAGTGTATGGTCGCAAATGGTTTAAAAATAAAATCCTAGATGGTTTTCGGTTTTGTTTTACAAATTACTAACCTTAAAGTGGGCTATGTATTTAGTGCCATCTATTCTGAGATCCCTGCATAAAACTGAGAATAGGCAACTGTCATCTGAAGCCACCTAATTAGTAGAGCCAATCTCGGTGTGTTTAACCAGCTGTTCTGCAAAGGCCATACTTGTTTGTCAGAGATCATTAGAGAACAAGCTGCGTCATTAAGACCAAGGAACATAGCAGACAGTTTAGGGAGAGAGACCTTGGAAAAATGTCTATTCTATCTTCTGAAAATAAAAGAGCATGTGGTAAAGCTGCAAATGCACCCAAACCTGGCTGCATTTCTAATTTGACAAGCTAAGAGAGAGGAGCATTAATCAGACTCTGGAGGCCTTTTGGAAAAGCCTGTTTAAACAAAGTTTTGTTTGTAGTTCGGTTTAAGCCATCAGGACACTCTAGATATGTAAAAGATGAAAACGAATTTTAACTTTTGGCTTAAATATATGAAACCTATGTGATAGAAAAACCCAACTGCACATACCCCAGAACAAACCATCCCTGCTGTTAAGCATGGCGGTGGCAGCATGATGCAGAAGGAATGCTTTTAGAGAAGGGGCAGAGGTTGCTTTGATGGGAGGATTGAAAGAGCCAGATGACAGGGTTATTCTGGCAGCAAAGACCAGAGACTGGAGCAGATATTCCTGAAGGAAAACCCCAAACCTTCATCCAAACATACTGAAGTTACATCAATTTGCAAAAAGAAAAATTGGTAAAAATAGCTCTAGATGTAAAAGACTAGAAGCATTGCACCCCAACCTTGCTGCCATTACAGCAAGGAAAGGAGTTTCAGGGGGATGAAAACATACACACATACCACACGTTGCTTTTCAAAACAGTTCACAAATGGAATCTAATCATTCATCATTCTTTAAATTAACAGCCTATATTCGTCATTTAATCAGTAAAAAAAAAAAATTACAGTTTTATAAGTACTATTGAAGCCGAGTAAGTAGCAGCTATCAGTCCACTCTCTTCCCGTTTCTGAATTAGGCTGTTAATGTAATGATAGAAAATTCACAGGCTAATCTTCCTCAGTTTTCCTCTGATGTTTGCTAATGAAAATGAAACAGATGGAAAAATATACCAAGGGACATGAAGATGACCAAGAAACACGATGTATCTGGCCATGGCTGCTGCAGGTGCACGGGCACAAATTGTGCAAACATTAATTATTGTCTTCATTGTTACCTCAGCTGAAGCAGATGAGGATGGAGAGTCCAGATTCTTTCTCTTTTTCCTGGGCCCGATGGCTGCCAAGGCGGTGAGGTTGGCTTCTCTCTGTCTCATCTGAGCCAGCTCCTGCATCTGCATCTGGACAACACACACACACACCCAAAACTGAATCAGTCGTATATAGAGTGTAAATGTGATGGAGAGACCTACACAATAGAATCAAGCTCTCCTCCTACCTCTTTCGCTTTCAATTTCAGACGCAGCTGCTCTGGATCCTCTTGCCGAGCGCGAGACTGAAAGGCCAACATGAAGAATAATAATTTATCAGATGTTCAAGACAAATGCTTCATAATTCAACTAAACAAACTAAGCCAAAAAAAGCTGCTGACTTCTCCACAAATTATAAGAATTTGTACACAAGTGATGCAAAATAAAGGAACTTGATAAATAATTACAGAGTTTGCTGTGCTTCACCACTTAGCCTAAGACAAGGAAAAAATAGTAGGGATAAACTGGAAGAACAAACAGTTTCAGGCCTTCATTCATTAAAGGATGATCAGATAATTTCAAAACAGTTCAAAGTCCATTGTTTAACACAGATAATGCATATTCACAATGTTGAATATTAAATACAGGAACCAGTGTTTTCAGAAATAACCCCAAAGGTTCAGAAGAATCGCAAAGAAACATCAAACCTTTAACTCAGCCTCCACATTTAGCAAGCATAATGTTAAAAAGTTTCTGAAGGAAAAGCAGAGGCCTTGAGGCCATTGTGACTTTATATGAAGGCTTAACAGACAAAAGCTTCTTTGAAAATAAGACTACAGCAGGAAATAAGTATTAAAATATGAAAATGGGGAAAATATAAGATTTCTGAAAGTTTGTAGGTAACTTTATTACTTTCAAGGCATATTTGAGAGCATTTAACATCAAATGTATCAACTAATTTAACATTTTTCAGGGTCAGATAATACACATCCAGATTTCTCAAAGTGAGGAATACATTTTAGTAACTTAACAGCATGAGGGTCACTCAATATGTTCGAACCAGGCTCTGCAACCTTTACTATCCAAATGGCCATTTTTTAGCTATAGGAAACTTGTTTAGAGGTCCAAATTTTACATGAACCTTTAAATAAAAGGGGGAAAAAAAGCTTTTAATTTTTTGTAATATTTTTAGAGGACCATTTTGTTTTAAAAGAATCAAACTTTACAAAAATAGTATGAATATATTTTCTTTTGTAAGATGTTGATATTGTGGGGAATAATACAAAAGAAATGGTTTCCAAACTAATGACAAGAAAAACTGTGGTACAAAATACTACCAGTGTTGTTGGTGGTATTTTTTTTGAAGAAATGCTATCCAAATATTCCGTAAAAATGTAAAACTTCTAAAACTTGAATCTGTTATGTTATGCCAATGCAGGATATATGCATACATTTTTTAAAGAAAAGCTGTAGTATATTAAGGCTAACTGAAATCAATGAATCACTATATACATAATGCTTGCGGGTAAATCTTTAGTTTAAAATTCAAACCTAGTTTCATTTGATGAATCATAGTTCTATTAAGATGGTTGCAGGCTGAGTGCTCCATGATATCCAACCTGAAATCAACCACAGCAACCTTGAGTCACAGTGTACAGAACGGTCAGATCAACTGTGAAGCTGCAGAGGGAATAAACATTAGCTATGGGCAAAACAGTTAAGTTAGCCGTTTATGTTTAACACGGAAATGTTACTTATGGAAAAAACAATAACAAATGGGGGATAAGCTACATGAAGAAAGCAACAGGTTTCACTATTCAGAGTTTAATATAGTGACGTACCTTAGCTGCCTTCAGCAGGATCTCCCTCTCCTGCTCCTCCTTTCTCTGCTTCTCCAGTTGGTCCAGCTGCTCCAAGAACTTCAGCTGGGCTCGAACATCACTGCTCTGCTCATAGCGCTCGTCCTCCTGTTAAATTGGTTTTGACATATTATTCCACATCAACTGCTTATACAAGTAAATGCTGAATGGATTCATTTAGGTAGGGCTCAGAGATGTGGCTTACAAACCAAATCATAATTTTTTTTTTCAACCAAATTGAATTATTCTTTTTTTAACCATTATATTTATGATAAAACTTACAAATGACATACACTACTTATAAAGACTTACTTTTATTTCAATCATCCCCTACAGGCAGTTTCCTTAATTAAGGACAACAAAATTCAAGCTACTAAACATGCTTATAAAGCAATAAAAATATAAGACTTTATGTGTGCAGCTTGTGGCATGACACAATGATCTAGTTTATCAGTCATGAGTAGAAACCTAATAACAAAAAGTGATGAACTGATGTCACTTTGAGCTATGGTAGCCTATGGGAAACAATGGTGAGAAAAAACACAAAGATTTCCCCAAAAGAAAATCTTCATAAACAGAAAATGTGATGCATCCATAAAATTGATTAACCCTCAGCCCCATGTTTAAAAAATCCTCTATTTCATCAACAAACCTTGAAGTTGACGTTTCTCTGCTGGGCTACTATAGAGACCTTTTCAAGTAAGTTCAGGAGTCGCTGCTGAGTAGCGTGGGAGATGTAATTTACCACCTCTGCTCCCAGCTCTGTTACTCCATATCTCATACCTGGAATAAAAACAAACTGTATGGTAGGAGCCTCACCAATGGGTTCATTATTAGGTTATGAAGCATGGAGTCTCACCTATCTCTAGCATCCTCCTCTGCAGTGTGGCACAGGAGAGAAAAGCCTCATCCTTACAGGAATGTGTCACAGCACCAACAAGTCCAGAGTTAGAAGCCAGGATATTAGCACTCTCCTCTGATAGGTTTACTCCCGCCATGGAGGCCACGTCGTTGATGTCGTCATCATCCCTGTGTATACAGAAGCAGAACGAGCTACGTATATATTGATATTAAACTGTGGCATGCAAGGCTGGAGACTGGAATTCAAGGGAAATGAAGGCATCTGTAAAAATTCATGTAAACATTTATCATTCAAACCTCTACAATATTGAGTGGCTGAGGTAGAGAAGGCAAGTTTTAATCACCCAAAATTAAGAAATCTGAGAAAGATTGATCAGTGTTGCCTTTGGGTAAATCCATAAGCTTTATAAAAAAAAAGTGCAAAAAGAGAATCAATCTTACTTGAAAGTGCCACCCGCCTCTTTTAGCTTATTCTTCTGTGCCTGTGTCAAAGCAACAGCAGACACGTGTTTAGGAACAAGAGCCACCTCTGGTCTCAGTGGAACTGCCAGGATAAAACAAAAATCACAGAATAACTATCTGAATGCAGGAGAGAAGAAGCACCACACTACACCAACTTTATCTATGAAACAATTTATAATAAAAGCCATTATAATGCTTTACATCAAACTAAAAAAAAAGGTGCCTAAACATCCAATTTTAGACATGGGCTTAAGGACTAACTCTCACCTGGTTGCAGCTCTTTAAGCTGAACTTGCTGCTGTCCCAACACGATGCGACCAGGGGTCTGATTCCTTAGAGCCATCATGGGGGTGGTTGGTAAAGTCACCGGAGGCCTCAAAATCCCTTTTTGCTGCTGAGGATGGAGAACCTGAAGGGGAAGGTTTGATACCCAAATATTAAACTCTAATCAAAGTTCCAAAAAACACATGGTTAAAAAAAAAAAAAAAAAAGTATTAAAGAACCGTTTTGGGATAAAATAGAATTTATATCTATGGAATAATAATCTGATATATAAATCTGAACCGATCAGATAGTTATTGTGCTGCGTTTCATTTGGTGATGATATTTTTGTTTGTCAAGTCTTATTTTAGTGCATGTCTTTCTTTCCCAGCAGTACAACTTCTACTCTCCATAAAGGAAACTATACTCCCTCCCTGCATTTTGTGTGGCCTGTTTAACTCTTCTTGATTCATGATGATGTTTCCCATCATCATGAATCAAGCCTTAGGGTGCAAAAAAAAAAAGAAAAAAGCACAAACACAAGTAATATTTCAAGTTAACAAAAAAATGCATCATGTCTCTTAGATAAAGATGTAATTGATGCTAAACAACTGTTGCATCACTGTTGCATAAAATAGTTCTGTGCATCAATGGAAAAATGATGCTTAGTGCAAAAAAACATGCCGCAATTAAATTGCTCCAGTTTTTTCAGGATCCTTCTCTAAAGTTTCATTTATTTGTATTCAATGAAGCATCCATCAAGATGAAGCTGATTTTGGATTGTTAGCACCTATCTGCTGCAAGGATCTGAGTCAAATATAAATCTACAGCAAATCAATTGATTATTTTTTTAGTGAAAGAGGAAAACATTTCAGATTAATTGTAAATCCCAAGAATTGTGTTAACAACATTTCTAAGGCTCATATTTTCAGTCAACTATAAATATTAACATGTGACTTTGTAGTATTTTATTTATTTATTTTTTTGAAACATTGGAATACAGTCACTTTTTCCCCCTTTGGCATACATTCAAATTCATTGATCCAATCATCTAGGAATTAAGGAAATAATAAATTAAAGCATGGAGGTGTACTTTAAGCATCTGTGGAGTTCAAAACATTTTATATGTTGATTAAAGTCATTTGTTAAGATTTCAAAGAGATCATGTTGCAAAGTTTCACCCCAGCGGCCTCAAATATAAAGATAAGGTTTTCATACTAAAAGTGAGCAGTAGCAAGAATTTAAAGAAAACTTGCATTGCACAAATTCTGGGTGTTTAAAATTAGCGTACACTTGCTACTGGATATTTTGTCTTCATACATCCCATTTTGGGTGGAACTGATGACATCACATCCATTTTTCACCCACCGGGTACAGATCAGTATAAATACCGAGTAGGGAACCCACCACATGTCCAAATAACCATGGCAATGGTAATTTCTGGATATCACAAAAAGACTGCAAACATCCCTAAGGGATAGTTGTTACACCCAAGCAACATGACATCAGTTTCACTACAGAGATCTTGCTAAAAACAAGAAGTCCATCATTTTGTACCAGTTTGTTCTGCAATGTCTGGATCAAAACATGCAACAGAGTCTAGCTGCTGCAGCTAACAGCTAACCATGGTAATGAATACCACATTATAGTGATGGCATGAATGTGCCCCAATTTTGCTATTAGGAACACATTACTACACACAGATGGAGTATGATGAATGTTTAAGAATGTCACAAAATTAAAAAAAGAAATAGGAATAAGCCAGTCATTATACATGTAGTCTGATGCAAGTCTGTTCCCCCATAGGCCTACTATGATGATAATAGAAGTATTTTAGTAAAAAGTAATCCAGAGTTTAACCTGGCCAAATGAGCCTATAGCTACATATGCGAGACATAATGTTACAAATGTGGTGGACAGCTTTCTGATAAAAATACATCTTATTTATGAAGCCAATTTGGTATTAAAAGTTCACACCCTTATTGCAACATAAGCAGTCAGAGCTCTAAATGCAAGAGGTTCAAACCATCTGCTCAATCAGATGGACAAGCTAAGATTTTACCAATTTCATTTATCCAGTACATCCAATTTACTTGTGAAAAATATAAAGAACAATTAACAATTCAAAAGGAAATCTTATCGTAAACAAACAAGTTTGTGGGTCTGTTTACGATAGTCCCAGCCTATGGACTTTGGTCTTTGGTTTAAGACTGCATAGTGGAAATGAATGTGTCTTTGGTAGTCATATCCATCATATCCATCCATCCATCCATCCATCCATCCATCCACCCATTTTCTGATGGTGCCTATCTCCAGCTGTCTATTGGCGAGAGGAGGGGTACACCCTGGACAGGTCGCCAGTCCATCGCAGGGCAACACAGAGACAAACAGGACAAACGACCATTCACACACATACTCACACCTAAGGAAAATTTAGAGAAGCCAATTAACCTAACAGTCATGTTTTTGGACTGTGGGAGGAAGCCGGAGTACCTGGAGAGAATGGTAGTCATATCCTTACTGTATAAATTTCCAAATGATGTCAAAAATTCAATTAGTTTCAAATGCTTTAATGCCAAATTGTTAATGAGCTATTGCTAAAAATATTGTCATTCTGAGAGTACAGATATTTGTCCACTGAAGAATATTTTTTTATTAATAACACATGCATAACTGAAACATTGCAGATATATGACTGTGCAGTGATACCAGTGACGTTGTCTGTCCTTGTTTAAGTGTCGGCTGAAGTTGGGGCCTGCTGCCTGGAACAGAGAGACGGGGAGCAGGACTTCCCAGAATCACTGAGGTGGAGGTGGCTGAGGAGGACGAAACAGCAGCTGAGGCTGTTTGTGGAAGCTGACTCTGCTGGATGAAAGTAGCTGAATCCGGGGTGAGCTGCCTCAAGGCTGGGAGGCTCCTCTACAGAATTAATGCAAGACAAAAATGAAATTATTTGAGGTTAACCCAAAAACCAGTTAACCAAAAAAAAAAAAATCTAAATTCTACATACAATATCCCTTTATTGCAATGTGAACTTGGTGTTTTTGTTTTGTTATTTGTTGCAAATCCACTAAAACTATAAAACTAAGAAATCACATTTGGGTAAATATAGAGGGCCTTTGCTATGAAGCTCTAGATTAGGCCAAGATGGAAACTGTGTTCACTAAACATCCTTGCAAAGTTCCTGCAGCTTAAAGTAATCAGGATAGCCAGATTGATAATATGTAGCACTTTGGTTTAGTTAAACACGCCATCAATTGGTGACTAGTAGATATTTAGTAGAACCTTCCAAGGTGACCAGGCAAAGCGACTCCCAGTGCCCACCTCAAAAGGTTTGGTTTTAGCCAGTTACGTTAACAAATGAAATAGCAGCAAAACACATGGGGAAAAAAATCACAACATAAGCTTGTAGCACTCTTTTTGTTCTTCTTCCAGTAATCAAATCATGGATCCTGATATGCTTTGCCTATTTTGGTCTGGCTGTGGGCTCAGCAGCTTTTTTTCTTGCTTTTGTCACAGCTATATGTCCCGGTTGACAAGGCTGTGAATACTTACATAAATGTGATTTCTTACGTTTTCTAAGTGTAATGAATTTCCAAACATCTCAAAAATTTTTTCCTTATGCTATTATAAAGGGGCATTATATATAGAATTTCGAGGAAAGATATCCATTTCATACCAATTGAATTAGGGCTTTAAAATGACTGAATTTGGAAAAACATTTTCTGACATTGTGAGTATTTTCCACATGCAATGTATAACCTTAAAGAGTGCTGTTATTGGCTGAAACATAAACACTTAGAGCAGAATACAGAACACAATAGCTCAAACCTCCAGAAAAGGCACAAGGTAAGGTTGGGGTGACGAATTCAGCTCTTTGTACAATCTGCTGGTGAATTCTTCAGCTTCAAGCTTAGCTTCCTAGGAAAAAGAAATGTTTTATGTATACTTTTTATTTAGTCAGTGTGTTCATTTGAATCATTTGAAATTCCAAGCATTGATATGAAGTTAAAAAGAGTGTTTTCACTCTAAAGCACACTTACCAGCAGGTCTTTGACCAGCTGTCTCACAGTGGCTGCTGTCTCTGTGGACTGATTCCCACTGGATGCCAGCTTGATCAGTGTAGATAGGAAGTTCTTGCATTTCTTTACATTCTCCATAGTCTCCTATCACACACAGACAGAGATAATCCACATTTAAAAAGGGCCTCAAGTCTCCTAAGAATAGTAGTTATACATCACTGGATAGCAGTGGCGGGCAGTGTGTATGAAACCAAGTGGGAACCCCTCTCCCACCTAAGGACAATCTAGAGAAGCCAATTAACCTAACAGTCATGTCTTTAGACTGTGTGAGGAAGCCAGAGTATCCAGAGAGAACCCACACATGCAGCTCCACCTCAATTACATCAGAGAAAGCCGTTCAGATTCAATATGCATCTAAAAGATAAAATAGCCCATAAACCATGAAAATAAAAGATATCACACTCACCAGCAGTGTCATTTTCATCAACGATGAGGATGACGAAATAATTTCACTGAAGCTCTTTTTCATGACGATAACAAAAACTGACGAGCTAAATGTGGATATTTGATGACTAAAACAAGACTAGTCATAGGTTTGAGTTTTTTGTCAACAACTATATTATCTAAGCAAGGGCAGTCTGATAAAGAATCTGGCTGTTATTCAAAATTGTAAAGGTTAACTTTTATTGCAACATAAAACTGACTAAAACTAGACTAAAACATTTTTAAGTTTTAGTCTTTAAAAACCGAGTATCACATATCATAATGACTAAAATGAGACTAAGACTAATAATAGCTTTCGTCCTAAAGACTAAGGTGAAATGTAAGATGGCTGTCAAAAACAACACTGCTCATCAGAGATGCTGATTATTTAGAAACAAAATCCATCCTTCTGTCTTTGTGCAAGGAGTATTAGTATCTCCATTTAGTATCAGCCATTCAAGCCCGAAAAAACTTTTAACAAAAGCAAACCTAAAATTTCAGATTGTCACTAGTTTAACTTGGCTGTAAACACTTTGCTCTAACTGACCAATCAGAGGACAGAAAATGGTGACGTTAGGGTGACCCCGCTTGCTGGCCCAGTGGGGCAAATGTGAAATCTGATTGGTTGAAGAAAACGTTCCTTACTAATATTGTTAAAGTCAGATTAGCCAGAACTGCTGATTCTGAAGGCCCTGGGCAGATTTGATTGATATAGTAATGAAATAAGGCTGAAATCTGATTGGACATAAAATAGAGCAACACAATAATTGTAATGGAAGCAGGACAGGCAAGAGAAATACAAAAAAAAAAAAAAATAGACTGCATTGTTTGGAAAAACTTAATACAGTTATAAGAAAATTCAAGTTTAGATTGTGAATGTAGGTTAGTGTTTCTGATTTATTTTAGGCCAGAAGTCAAGGCCATGAAGGCCCTCACAGCCCACCACTACAGGACAGGTGACCTTTACAGCAAACTCTGAATATCCTAAACTCCTTAAAGCAGTAAAGGACAGAGGCTTTAAGTGAACACTTACTTTGCTCCCAGTTACTGAGGTAACTGTGGTCCCAGCAGTAGGAGTGAGTGTTCTAGGGGCCATTCCTGGTACTGGGGCCCCAACGGAGCTCTATGTAGAGACAAAAAAGAAACAAAAAACACCAAAAGAAACACAGTTCTTAAAAAAAAAAAACACTCAGACTTCAAGTCATTTGACAATAACTTGGCAACCCTAAACGCCTAACTGTTCAGGAAGATATTTTGCTACAGTGCTGTTAGTGAAATTCTCCACAATGCTAAACAACCATGTGTAATAATTTTAAAATGTCAAATTGAATTCTAATTTCCCATCAAGTGTTCATTTTTTAATGTATTTTTTATCCAATACTTAAATGTTTAATTTTAAATTTTTTTTAAACATTTTATGACTAGATTACGTCCACTAAGGGACCTCGGACTGCTAAAACAGGTGTAACATGGTCCTTACGATAGGACACTTTTGGGAGCTCATAACCTTGGTAGATCTTCAGGCCATTTATAGTTTTTTTTACTTTTTTGGAATACTTAAATATCTGTATTTAATGTTTATCACCAATTAAATCAAAGCAGTATATTAGATAGAGCAGTTTTGAAACATGCACTTGAGATGAAATAATTACCTGCCATGTTCAGGAATAACTATAATAAGAGTGGAATGCAGAGGAAACATAAAAAGGACCACAAACGAGTCGTGTTATATTTAGGTATAGATAAACCTGAATAACCATGCATTATAAAGTATACCCCTCACCTGACCTTTTCACTTAATTTGTAAAACAAACATCATTAATAATCACAAAATTATCAAGACTTTAAGTGACTGCCATATTGTGAAGTGGGAAATAAAATTTTAAATATTTATCAGGAATTAAAATTTATAAATTAAAGGTTTAGTGTGGATTTTTAGTTAGCCAACTTTCCTTTATAATTACTTATATCAAATCTAGTGCATCAAATTAGCTTCAAAATATCCCAAAGATGGGACATATAGAGAGGTACAACTGCTTAGACTGAAGCTTATCAATGCCTTAGCTTTCCAAAGTCTACGTATAAATCCAATATAGAATTTTGATAAGAGTAGATAACTGACCTTTGATAATGCTCTCTGTCCAAACTGACAGAAATTATTGAAGTAGAAAAAAATATTTTTAAATCTTTAAACATGCAAAGCTTGTAAAAGCTAAATCGGGAGGCATGTAAAGTGTAATAAAATGATGATAAGCATACATCATTGTGGAGCATTTCAAAAGTAAAAGGCTTTGCAGCTTAACAGTAAAATACATTAATAAAATTTAACTTCTTACAGGAAATGTGACATTAAAAACTAAGTCCGATACTCAGAAGCCTGGTGATCATCAGCATACAATGAGAATGAAAGTTTAAAACATCATGATAAGAGAACAGGTTGGGAGTGTGGAGAAAATACAGCATTTACACACTGGCAGGATGGGGGGTCTATGAAGAGCAGTAATCGCAGGAAGTGATGCTGGTCGAATGATGTTGCTCGGAGTTACTTGTCTACTGATTATTGTGGGTCCGGAAGCCTAAAAAAGTGACCCAAAGAAAAATTTAAATAAATACCAGTTTAAGAAAACTGCTTTACCTGTTAACTTGTAGATTAGAATATATAATAATCTATATCACATAGTTCCTCGAAAGTAGTCTGGCTGACTACCAAACCAAAGTTACCTGGCCTGCAGACACATTTGCTGGCATAGCTGTCCGAGGAGCCATGCCTCCCTGTGCCTGTGCTTGCATTTGGGCCAGAGCCTGCTGAGGAATCATCAATAATTGCCCACTCTCACTGCGTACCAGCACCATACCTGAAAGTCAGAAAGCAAACGACAGAAGGCAGCTTAAAAGCACAGCCCTGAGTTGCATCAGAGTGGTGGCAAACACTAAAAAAGTTATTCTATTTGATCTGTGCTTGTTGCTTTGACTGAAATGAGTCTTCATTATATAATACAGCATAGATGAAAGTGAAAATGTGCATAATCTGTTTACATTTTCAATAACTGATCAAGCCAGACGTGTAAATAAAATCGGCAGTACTTGGAGTTTAACCTCACCCTGGGGTAGCTGGATGTTGTGAACACTGGGCTGTCCTGGAGAGGTCTGTGGGAGTCTGGGAGCCAGCGTCTGGGGTGTGATTCCGGGCATACTTGCAGCTGCCATGCCTGGAGGTCCGGGGGTACTGATGGAGTTGGGGGTGGCTGAAACAGCAGGCTGCTGTGCCGACTGGATTATAGTTGTTGGTGGCTCTGCTTTAATGATGTGTGAACCAGCACTGCTGGACGTAGAGGTGTTTGGCAGCGGGTTTTGAGTGCCAATACCTGTCTGATTTGTTACATTAGCAGCCACAGCTGTGCATGCAGCATTGCTCCCGTTTAAAGTTGCGCTCGATCCGATTGCTTGCATAGGTGGCCTGACAAGTGTCACCGTGGGTCCTTGGCTCGTAGCAGGAACACTGTCTGAATTCACGAGTGGCGTCTGGATGACGCTGTTTGACAGGGGGGGCAATGAGACAGTGGTGGCCGCCAGCCCTTTTGACAAAACCGCTCCTGCGCTGACAGCTGCAGTTGATATCACAGTGCTGCTGCTGCTGTTTCCAGTGGCAACGCTTCCTGAATTGTGAGAGTTCATAGTTTGGCTCCCGTTAAAAGTCTGCACAGAGAAAGAACCCACTTTCCCCGGGTAATTTATGGGGAAACTTATACCGTCATTGAGTGGTTTTCCCGGCTCGTGTCCCGTTTTGCGTCCATAGCGGAACCATTGGGAACTCGTTTAGCGGAGACCCCCCTCTCTCTCGCTGCACTTTAACAAGTTTAACAGGGAGCAACACACGCTCGAGTGTGATGGAGAGGGCTACAGCGCGAGAACTTGTTTTCTTTGCAAACTCCGGCTCTTTCCTCTCGTTTTTTTCTCCAAAAAGCATCAAGTAAAAAGAACATTAGTAGTCAAAGCGTACCTGCTTTAGCAAACGTCTTGACCAAGTCCCAGCTGGACATTAGCTCGAGCTACCCCCCTGTCCCGGAACTTTGACCATGTAACTAATGGCTGCCTCGTGCCTACCTAAGTGGTTGCTGTTTAACAAGGACAGCGGTGACTCTACAGACCAAGAATGATAGCAAACTACCGCTTTATTCAACCCTGTCTGTGAAAAGAGTTCATCCAACAGACAGGAACCAACCGCCATCTTCACACTCCAGCGAGCTTGTGAAAAGTGAAGTACTTACTTACTGACGTGCGCGTGCGCACAACAGCCAAAACTGTACCGACCGGAGAGTTCCCCGAGCTCTGATTGGCTGATCTGTCATAATAAAGGCGGTACCAATGGCTTCAGCTGTCATTCCAGAAGTAGTAGCAGAGGGTACAGCAGCTCAACGGGGCGATACGTTTCCACCGAATCTTTCATCCTAGGATGCTTAATTAGACTTAAACTGTAAAAAATCCTTTTCAGAATTTAACCTCGAAACCTTTGGTGGTAAAATATCCCGGTTTGCTACAAGCGTAATATTCAAATTTTAGACTTTATTCAGACTGGATGTACAGGGCAAGATGGCTGCAGCGAAATGAGGTTTCGGTTGTACATAGACATTTAAAGACGCCCCACCCTTTGAAATACAAAATAAAAAACTACTGTGTTGTTAAGAGCATTTTAGTTCACACATTTTGTTTGTTTTGAAGCATTAATATGCCTATTCAATTTTTCTTAACTTATTTCCTTAACAACTTGAATGGGGGTGTGTTTAGAATATAAAAGTATTGTCCCAGTCCGGAAATAGTTTATCAGCATCATAAATTTACTTTATGGTTTATTAAAATGTAAAACTTATTCAGTTGGGCTTTTTAAAAGTGAATTTAATCTAATATATATATGTATATATATATATATATATATATATATATATATATATATATAATTGTTTTTTTTTTTGTTGCATCTGGAGTAAAATAGTCTATTAGAAAGTCATATTATTCCTTCCTTTTTTAATTAATCTACTGTAAGAGAGGTTTATTTTATCAAAGAGATTGCAAAAATGTTTCATAATATATTAATGCAATGAGTTGATCAAATTTTCTCTTCTAGAGTTGCCAAGGTACAGTCCTTGTGACCTACACCCTGTAACCCTTAGTCAGGCATGCCCAAAGTCGGTCCTGGAGGGCTGTTGTACTACAGGTTTTAGAGGTTTCCCTGTTCCAGCATAGCTGATTTTTATTTTAAGCTGATTAACAGGCTTTTTCTGACCTGCTATCATCAGAATAGGCTGTGCAAAAGCACAGAAACCTCAAAAACCTGCAGAACAGCAGCTCTCCAGGACCGATTTTGGTCATGCTGCATCCCTTTTCAAAACGCACCTCAACCAAATGAATGGCATATCACCAGGGATGATATTTATATGGCTGATCGTAACCTCTAGCTCCTTTTTCAACAGCAGGGACAAAGCAGGAAAGGAACTCTAGACCGCTGTGCTTAATCCAGACAGCCTTCAATCTTGAAATCATCACACAAAGGAAACTCATATGGATGATGCTTGTGAAATTGGGAATTTAACCTTCTAAAAAAAACTAACCTTGCTTGAAAGCTATATTTTAGTGAACTTTTTGCGTTTGCAAACACATGAGAATCCATCTTGTACTGTTCCTGCTTCACCATATATATATGTATATATCCTATCGGCAAAAGAATTGTGGGAATACTTATGGCTTATATGCATCAAATATTGGTGTTAGGAGATCCATGACCCATTGATAGGAAATATACACATTAGGAATCCTTACCAATTTGCTGTATTCAGTACAAGCCCAGGCCTCTTTTAAGCAAACAGATTTGTTTTTGAAACTTAAAAAAAATATATATGTTTAGAGAAATAGAGCATAATAAATCAGATATGACAAAAACAAGAAATATAAAAAATACAGAAAATATGAATATAACACAATGTTAGGTTGTGTTTTAAAGGCATTTATTGTCTTAATAGTTTTTTCTTTTTTTTTTTTTTGCTAGAATCTGGGATTGTTTCCAATTTTGTATTGCATTGTTCTATAAATATAAAAAATTAGCTTGAAAATGAAATAAATGAGAAAAAACATGCAAGTCTCTCAGACTGAACTATATTTTTTATATTGTTGGAGATGAAATTAATAATGGTTTCCAGAAATTCTATGACCAAAGACATTTCCAAAAATGATTAATCCTTGTCTATAGATAAAAGTTACAGAGAGAGCAGGAAACATCTAGATCTGCGGTATGTTTCCATAGGAACTGGTTGATTGCAAAAAAACCACCAACTCATTTAAAACAAAGCTTGTTAACGTTAATAATGAGAAGGGGATTTTATGGAAGATATCTGATCTTTACCCAGTAAAGATTCTGCACAAAATGTTCGAACAGGACAAAGATGATGGGGAATTCACCTGAGTGGATTGTCAAGGATCAGGATGTCTCGCAGACTTGAGAGTCAATTTCTCCAAATCACACCCACAAACCAGATGAGATATCATAAAATTCGGACTGAAACAATTAATCAGATTAATGGTGATTAATTGATTATTGAAATAATCATCAATTAATTTAGTTATCGATTAATTGTTAAGTGGAGTATAGAGACTCTAAAACATGGCTTAAGATGACAGAGCGCCCCACTTAGAGCAGTAATAATTTAAAAATTGTAAAATATATATATATATATATATATATATATATATAAACATTTTGCATTTAAGATAAAAAATATGCTTTCAATATGCTCTATCTAGAACTCCTCAAGTGGAAACGTTTTAGTTTCACCTGGTTTAATTTCATAAGAAATCTTTTTTAAGGAATCTTTGGCTATCCAAATAATAATTTATTAATTGAAAAAAATAATTGACAGATTCATTGATTTGCAAAATAGCCATTAGTTGCAGCCTGACGTTCGTTTTAAAATTTACATATTAAAAAAAACGAGAAACCATATATCACTTCTTTTACAGCAAAAATTAAGAATTGGTAGGAATATTGAGTGTTGTTGCATGCAAATTTTTTTTTTTGCTGTTTTGCTTTTGGGTTGCACTGTTGTATAGGCAGAGCTTGTAAAGGACAGGGGCGGAGCTACGGGGTGGCCAGAGGTGGCCATGGCCCTCCCTTACAGGTGATCTGTTTTTTCACACCTCTGAAATAAGCACCTCCCCCTCTGAACCAGGAGGTGGCAACATTACATTATAAAGTGGAATGTTCAGATTAATTTCACATCTAATTCTTAGTATGTTAACCAAAAACTAATAACAAAACAGTTAATTTATTCACACCAATATGCTAACATTAAAGATGTCGATTGAAGTATTTTTACTTTTTCAAAAGTAGTTTTTGTGTATTATTTGGGAGAAGTGAAAGCTATGTATCTCTGCAATTTTTTTTTTTCATTTAGACAATCTAAATGTATAACTATAATCTATCTGAGCTTTACTTTCCTGACTTCATTTTCCCTTTGTTACAGTGTGATTAATAATTGATGAAGTTTGAAAAGTAATGATCATATTTTCTGTTTATTTTTTTTAATTTTATAAGGTTTACAACTGCTTAAAAATATAGTTTTTCTTGCATATAGATATTTTTGTCCTCCATCTAGAGATGTTCCAGGTATAAACCAGGAGGAGGCCCCGGGGACCGTCAAGGACATGCCTGAGGTACATCTCAGGTTTCAGAACTGGAGGAGGTGTCTGGGGACAGGGAAGCCTGGGTGTCTCTGCTGATAACCAGATAAGCAGAGGACAACAAGTATGAGTAAATTCAGAAATAAATATTTCATTCTAAATGCAACATATTCAGGTCGTACCCCACCTTTCGCCCATAGACTGCTGAAGATAGGCACCAACCCCACTGCAAAGCTGATGGATGAAGATGAATGATGGACGGATGGACGGAAACATTAATAACTAATTTATTAGAATATAATTTGTGAAAAGTGGAAGAAATGTATTTATTTATTTTTGCTATCTAGTTCGTGGAATGCCATAAAGTGATTTTCTTGCTGGTTCTCAGCTGCACTATTAAAAACTATAAAAGAAATTAAAAAAAAAAAAGATGAAGTTTATCCAAATAAGTATTTTGTCCCCTGTAAATGCAAATAAATGTTTTCTTACATGAAGACGTAGGTCTATCTGTCTATAGCCTGCATGTACCTCTATGATGCCATGTTACAGTGTTTAATAAAGGAGGATAGCAGCATTTTGTCAAGTGTGTCAAAGTGGATGGCATGAGTGCATCAGTCAGGACCCAGTTATCTTCCACTCTGAAAATAAAGTTTTTTATTTACATTTTTAAAAGTAGGAGCCTTATTAAAACATGATGTTTAAATGAAGAAGAATAACTAAAAAGAAAAACAATCTGACCTTAAACCTTTTGTGCTAAGTGCCAAGCAGATTAGATTGAGGTCTGTGACTGGAGCATCTTCTACTTCTCCAGATGCCCCTTCTAAACTACTAATCACTGCTTCATACTCGTTGTATGGTAACGTTTGTGGTGCAAACTGCTATCAGCAATACAAATAAATACATTTAATTTCTGCTCAAATTTTTGTGTTTAAACATTAAAGGAAACTTCACAAATGGAGTGTCTTAGATGATCCTACCCTTCCAAAATGAAATATAAAAAATCTGAATACATACTTTATAATAAATGTTGAACGTATTAATTCATCAGTCAATAAAACATTTTCTATTCAATTATTATTTATGAATACCAATCTCATAAGAAAAACATACATTTAGGATCAATACAGAAACTCAAGAAAATTAATATAAAGTACTATATGAAATATACGTTTAGAGATTTGAAGTAGATCCAAAATTAATTTTGTAAAACTACAGTGGAAACAACAGAGAACCTATTTTTTGTTTGTCTTTAAAAAAAATGTCTTCTCACTTAAACAACTGATAATCAGTCAAAACTGATAACATTCCAAATTTTGAATTGACACATATAACACTCTACTCCGACAGCCTAGAATTACTCATTTTAGACACAGTTAATTTGGTCCTTTGATTGGCAACTAAGACCAGGAATGATTATAACATTGGGATGCTTGATCTATCCATCCATTCCAACAGATTAAATCACATAATGGTGATGGTAATTCATTCTTCAAAGCTCACATGATGTGTTCACATTTTGAATAAAAACTCATTTAAAGGTTTACATGTTCTGGCTATAAATTTTTTTAAATAGGGGTTTTTCAGTTAAAATATAGCTGTAAAACAAGTATTTGTGCATAGTTCTTTAATTAATTTTAAAGCAGAAAGGCTAATACAGGGGTTGGGTTATAACTCTCAAAGCATTACAGTTCTTTGAGTTAAAAAGAAAATCAGTATTTCAGTCTCGTCATTTGATTCTTTTATGGAAAGCTATAGGCACTGAAAATGACGGGGAAACTACCAAAATGAAAAATTACATGAAAATAATAAAATAAAAACAAAAACAAAATTTTTTGATCATGTCTGGTCATTTGGCAACTCGGGTTAAGAGAATAAGAGTTGAGTGTGTTCAATGCAGTCATTGGGTACACTAAGCCAAAACTCCAGGGTGGCCAACAGTCAATTTGTTCAAAAAATTGCACAATGTATGTTGAAAAAAAAAAAAAATCAGTAAGGTAGATACTGAAGCAAACAAAACTTCAATAACCACCCACAGCCTTCCTGCAAATGGAAAGGGTTTTAACTGGATTTTGAAAAAAATTTTTTTAAATATCTGTTCCTTTATCCAGGGGCGGAGCAAGATAGAGGGGCTACCCTTAGCCAATCATTGGCCACCTCTGTGGCCACCCCTACCATTTGTTTTTCCCTCTAATACAGATGGTGGCAGCAGTAATACTCTCGAGAGGAATACTAACAACATTTTATTTTATTTTTTTTTGTGGTTAATTATACTCATCAATATACTAAAATTAAACATGATAAGTACAGAAATCATGCTTTTTTCAGAACCAGATTTTGTGTTTTATGAGGTAAAGAGAAAATTATTTGTCTCTGCAAGTCATCTAGGAGTCTTCAGTGAAATCACAGATAGATATCAATTTTAATAAAAACTTATCAAATAATCAATTTATCTAGATATTAGTGCTTGTAAATATCAATTTTATGCAGAATGTTTATTGATACAAGTAGGTAAGTAATGACAATGATGATAAGCCCCAGAACTCAAAGCTGAGTTTTATTCACTATACCTTTTATGTAGAAATTACAGATGTTTAAATATATGCATCTATTTGTTAGCAAATGCTGTAAGAAAGTGTAGTTAGTCTTTATTTAGAAAATGTGGATGTTTTGCTTGATAATTTTCCTGTTGGAACAGGAGAAGAGTGACCGTTCTGGTGCCGATCTGCTTTCGGCCACCCCTCAATGTACATTGGTTATTGCCTGGCCACCCTTATTAAAATTTCTGGCTACGCCTCTGCCTCTATCAAAAGGTTGAAAACATATACAACAACAGAGAAACTTTTAATGGTATGGCTAAGCAATTTAAAATAATATATATTTTTTTTTTCTATCCCTAGCCTTTTCATATTCCCACACTTATCCCCCAAAATATGTTCTTTATATTCTGACAGGAGTTTTTTTTTTTTTTTTTTATTAGGCTGTTGTTGGGGGGAAAAAAGCGACGACTCCCTCCAATTTCGCGCAATGGACAACTACCAAGCCCTATATTCAGAATTTCCCATATTTTGCACACTTTTAACTGCGCACTAGAATCCTTCTGTGTGTTTTCTGATATAGGTGCGCAGGTTGTACTGTATTATAGCTATCAGACCATAGTTTGCTTTTAAGTATTTCGGTGTACGCTGAAGAATGAAACAAACTGACCCTTGATTATCCACAGCTGGTTCGTTCGTCTGCAAAAAGGTGCGCAGCTCCATCCCTATAAAGCCCGCAGGTGCGTGTAATTTGGGTTTAAAATAATTTCTTTTTGGGTGCCGCTCTTTATTCGTTTGTCGTTTATTGAAAAGAAAAGAAAAAAAATCGTTTAGAAGATGAGTGCCGGAGGTGGAACCCCTTACATTGGCAGTAAAATTAGTTTGATTTCCAAGGCCCAGATTCGTTATGAAGGAATACTGTCTGCTGTGGACACGGAGCGCTCAACGGTGGCTTTGGCCAAAGGTGGGTGCAGCAATTTTTACACAATAGATATATATGTATATATCTTATCAGTGTTTTGTTTTTTTGTTTTTTAGTATTTGAAGTAAATATTCTTTAAAGACAGAATGTAATGAGGCAAAAAAATGTTTTCCCCCTTCAATATTCAACTTAAAGTATGCCCATATATCTTACTGTTTTATCAGTTAAATCCTATGGCACAGAGGACCGGCATGCGGAGAGACCAGTGCCGCCAAAAGATGAGATCTATGAATATATAATCTTCAGAGGAAGTGACATCAAAGATATAACCGTGTCTGAACCCCCGAAGCCGCACTATGGGCTGCATCGAGACCCTGCCATTGTTCAGGTATGTTAATAAACCTGCTGAAGTGATGCTAAATGCCTGTGCCACTTCTGTATATTAAATGTTTACACACAAATTAGAAATATAAAGTGTCATTTTAAACTTTTATAGAGAACATCCTGTCACACAAACTAAAAAAGAACAAAACTGATCCATCTATTTCTCACCAAATAGACCATCTCATTAGTTTACGGACCAGTAAACTTTTTTTTTTTTCTTTTTTACTCTAACTTCAAAGCAGTCCAATCTGCTTTGTGATGTACTCTGATTAAACTGACCTTTGTAATATCCTTGGCCAATTGCAGTGGTGACAAAAGTACACACATTTGTTCTTTAAGTAAAAGTATAGATACTGCAGTTTAAAAAACACTGTGGTAAAAGTTGAAGAATCAACTTGACCTCTTTAATCAAGTAAGTGAAAAAATGTGTGCTCCAAAAACTACTTAAAGTATACAAGTATAAAGTAACGTTTAAAAAAAACAGCCAGATGCCACTATATGAATTGAAAGCTCAATTTTTCAGCTATTTTGAAAAATTCTTTGAGATGGAGCCAAGGATGAGGGAGGTCTTGTTGGTGTTCATCTCCTGATACGCTCTCGCCTCTGTCCGACCTTTCAGACATTTCAATATCTTTTTCTGAATCCGACATTGTAGCATGGCATAGACAATTCGTGTTTACGGTTTGAAAAACACGTGCCTGCTTCTAAAGATTTTCTTTGGCGTTTGTGCAAATTTGACGAATAGTTAACTAATGAAGGTATGCGTTATGACTTATCCAATGCAGATCATTAGCACCATCCACGTCTAGTGAAAAGTAGTGTAATTAGATGACTCGCAGGACGTGTGTGTGTGTGTGTGTGTGTGTGTGTGTGTGTGTGTGTGTGTGTGTGTGTGTGTGTGTGTGTGTGTGTGTGTGTGTGTGTGTCCGAAGCAAAGAGTAACGTTTGTTTTGAAAGTACAGATACTCGTGTGAACATCTAATGAGTAAAAGTCAGAAGTAGGAAGAAAAATAAGTAATGGAATAAAGTATAGATACCTAAAAAGTGTACGGCAGTATTTGTACTTCCCTATTTGACACCTCTGCCAATTTCACCCTATTCATTTTTTAAGATATATATATATATATATATATGTGCCTAATACTTAATGGCCTGTTTATTTCATGTATAAAATTGGTTGAGGTTTTTTTTTTTTTTTCAGTTTGCTTTTTATATTGAATGTATTGGTCTTCCTCTGAGGTCATTTTGTCCCCCAGCTGTTTTTAGCCTGTGTGTGGCTTAACACATCCAACCACAATTGAGTAGTTATTTGATGACATTAGGGATGGGAGACCTATTTCTCATAAGTACTTTCCCACACAAAGTGCCTAGTGTCCCCTCTTGCCAGTTAGAGCTGGGTTGGTTTGATGCAGCTTATATTACCGAAGTGTTTTCAAGGCCCCACCAGATATGATGTTGGTCATTTTGAAGACTTTAAAAATATATATATATTTTTTTAGCTTTTCATAAAAGCCAATTTTAAAAATGCATATACTGTTCTGGGGATGACAAAATTGATTAACAATAGAGTAGAGAATGATACTTTGTAGTGACCAATGGATTACAAAAACTCAAGGATTCATTTGGATCAGTGTTTTAATCTGAGTCTGGAATGTATTTACAATCTGGATGAAAGATTTCCAATATGGGTGACGTCTCAAACTGAAAGTTTGTCCTGATGGTGGTGCTGCAGGAAAGGTCATATTGCCAAATCAATGTTTAATACATTTTAAAAAGGAGAACTGGGAGGTAAATTCTAATAGGTTAGGCCTAATGTTTGGTGTAGAGGCTACAGGGGGGGGGGGGGGGAGAGATTTTTTTGGATTAAAACTTTTATTTGACTTTGCTTTTTAACATTCTGAAATGATTAAACTGGTTTTACTGGTGCATTTCCAGTTTAATTGAAACTCTTGAAAATGCCATTAACTTGTAACATTTTACCTTTTTCTCAGTCATCCATGGGACCACCTTCTGGATATCACCCACGTTGGAGTCCCTGCAGAGAAATGATGCCCACCTTTAACCAATTGGCTGCGAGTACCCTGCTGAGTCAGCAGTACAACGCAGCACTAGGCTTAAGTACATACATGGTACCTCGAAGGTGTAACATTGACCTTACTGGATGTATGTTTGCAAATAATTTTTATTTCCCTTAGTGCCAGGACATCACTGTACAGCCACTAGGGGACCTATGGTGGAGCAGGCAGTTCAAACCATGCCCTTGGCCACAGGTCCACAGAGAAAAGGAAAGGCTGCGATCCAGCCACAGGGCAGGCTGCCTGTTCGTACATATCGGGGCCCGTCACGAGACGCCTCTCGGGTTGAGAAGGAAAATGTACCCACCAGTAAGTAATTGACACTTAGAAGTATATCCCAGCGAAGATCAGCAATCAACTCTGGGATCCTACGTAGTAAAAAAAAAAAATTATTCCAGACACTCTTAAAATTTCAAATTTAAAAAGTGAAAGCCCAAACTTCTGTTTTGGAGTCAAACATAACTGTATTTTTATTTTATTTTCTTCTCAGGTCGAGCAATATCACAATCAGCTGAGGCTAAGATACAAGGCCAAGGTGCTGACAGACAGAAGGCAAGACAAAAACAAGGTGGTTTTATTTAATGCTTGAAGATGAAACTCATTTAAATAAAAAAGGCATAGTAATTGTTTTCAGGGCTTTCCCACAAAGTGTGAGGAAAAACTTAGTAAAAAATGCATATTCCACTCAATCAGTTTAACTCTTTCATACTTGAACTGGCTCTGATGGTTATTTTCAGCCAATCGCAGATCCAGAACCAGAAGTCGAGGTCAGCTCTTGGCAAAAAACTCCAAAGTTGCATCTTTGGAGTTTGAGGCAGATTTTGACTTTGAAACTGCAAATGCTGAGTTTAGGGATCATCTCACAAAGGAGGCAACAGGTAGATGAAAGATGAGTCATGTGTCAGATTTTTATAACTGGATACTGGAGAACGATTTATATATATTTTTTTATATATATACAGTCGACAAGCTGGACGTTGAGGAAGCACAAGACGTGGCGGATGTGAAAGAGGGGGAAACCCTTGCAGAGAAGTACTACAATAAATCTAAATGCTTCTTCGACAACATTTCATCAGATCCTAAACCCAGGTAACTGGTTGTTAATCTGCATTTGTACCAGCTTTTGGTTCTGATTCTTCATGTTCACTGTCCTTCATAGGAGAACCACGTGGGCAGAGGAAAAAAAGCTAAATATGGAAACCTTTGGAGTGCCTGGTCGCTTCCTAAGAAGCAGAGGACTCGGACGTGGGCGCAAAGCAGAAGGCTCTGCAGAGCAGCGCAACCTCCCAAAGATTGGGAATGGAAGAGTGTGAACACTTTTTGTTATTGCTACTGTAATTATAGTATTGTTATACTTTAAATGAATCTCCCTAACTTTAGCAACTTTTTTTTTTTTAAGAGCTGAAATGCTTATGAAATGGGAGGCTTTTTTGTTTTTTCTAATCCAGCAGTTGTAATATTGTCTGGATCAAGGCAGTATTTAACTTAAGTGTATTGAACTGTGCACTTAACTTCTAATTTGTAACTCTTAAACATTTTTGTAAGAACTTTTTTTTCTTTCCTTTTTTTTTGCTTCTTGTAAGATTAAATCAAGAAATGTACAACATTTGCCATTAAATGCCATGATGCATATAGATAGTTTTGGTATTTTTGCTCTTGATCTGCATTTGCGCTGACATGCAAATGGAGGCCAGTTCCTGAAACTCTAGGCCTAAATCCTCAAGTTCATCAAATGAAGCATTATCAGGAATGGTAATGCTATCAAGATCTGAGACGATGTCGGCGTCTCCCTCTTCTGCGTAGATGTGAGGTTTATATTCCGGTAGATCCTCTTCAGTTTCCTGGAATGAGCGGACTTTCTGTGGATTATAAAGAAAAAGGCTGAAAAATGTTTTAATGCTTTGAATGCCTTTAGGACAACTTGCAATACTAACCAAATGAATCTGAGAGGGCATCCATTCCTCCAGCAACTGTTGTCTGTACTTGTAGAATTCCCATTTTCTATACTGTAAACACAAATGTATAGTTTTTTTGTTTTTTTTTCAAAAAGGTAGCAAAAGGTACAAGCACTAGGCGTAAAACTCTGAATTTAGTATTGCTCCACATCAGTTTGTCGAGAACCGAAAGCCCCTGTCACACCTTGATGATTTAGAGCGTATGCCTGATGTGCAAAAACGCTGGCAGATGTTGGGTCAGTTTTGTTAGTTAGGAGCACACTGGCATAAGGCGAATACGTCAGGTACATTTCCTGGCGTACCCGCCGCATGTTGACGTGTGCCAGCATGCTCTCAATACAAAACGTCAACATGCGGAAAACGCCGAAATTTTGAAAGAAATATTAGCCAAACTTTGGACTGACTTTTAAAATATTTGGCTTTTTGTACATACGTTGATATACTTATTCTGCATCCAGTCCACCTTCTCTTCAGTCTTCAATGAATTGTTTCTCTGACCATCTGAGGTTGAATGGATACTTTTTGCTACCTTTAAAAGGAAACAAAAGACAGAATTCGGTATTTGTACCTAAAGTTGTCAGATTTGAGCATGCTCAAAATTTCTTGACGTATGCTTATTCATGGGCTATAAGTTACAGGTAAGATATCTGATCGTTGACCTACGTTAAGTGTAAGTTACTCATGAGTCGTGGTGTGTAGCTTATCTAAAACCTATGGGTAACGTGTGCATAACTAATGTATAACAAACTTCAACGCATGTGAACGTATTTGAAATGTTCCAGACGACCACTGAATGCATACCAACGCACAGCTACTGTATAATGCCTTATTGGCAGCGTTTTGGTATAAAGTCAGTACTCCTCCAGACTTCATCCCCCTCATAGGGTGAGCAAGAAGGTGACTGATGGATCCTTCCTCCGTTCACGACCAAACTTCCTAGCAGACATGGTTAATCAGCTGCGACTGCAAACCTTTTTTTTTTTTCGGGTGGGCGGTGAACAGCAGCTAGGTTAATACTATCAAAGACATCTTTTTATGCACACCAGGTGTATTGCTGCCCCCTCAGGAAACTGGCTTGTGCATCATTTCATGGGAATTACGCTGCCATGCGTTATGCATAAGTTGCGTTATGCTGGACTTGTTATGAATACTCAATGTTTACACCCAAAATTGAAAAAAATACATATGTATGCCATGTTTTAGGAGATTCTGGGACGTCAGACATACACTGTTTAAATCGGAAAGGTGTGACAGGGGCCTAAGCTAATGTTAGTCTTCCCTTGTTAAATGAACTATGCAAGACTTGCTGTTTAAATCAGTAACCTTGTTTGAGCAGAGTAGGCTACCTCATCAGAAATGATTCATTCCTCAGCTCTGAGAAATCCCTTTTCTTAGATGGAACGAACAAGAAAACAATGCGTGCATCTAAAAGTTGCCAATTACCTTGCTCCAGTTCCAGTAATATTTCCTCCTGTAATCCTCTGACTGGTTGTGTAATAAGGACACATTAGTATCCTGTTAAGCAAGAGACAAATATTAGCCAAACTTTATAGACTGACTTCTCAAATCAATCAGTTTTTTGTACGTACGTTGAAATACTCAGTCTTTGTCCAGTCCCACTTCTTTTCAGTCTTCAATGAATTTTTGTTCGTCTGACCATCTGATGTTGAAGGGTTATTTGGTACCTTTACGAGGAAACGAAAGACAGAATTTGGTATTTGTACCTAAAGTTGTCAGATTTTTGAGAATTTATAATGTGTAACCTTGCAGTCAGTCCCTGGGTTCTCAATGTTTGAATCCTGTATGTTTCCCACAGGAGAAACCGTATCCATGTCAGTGAAATTCTCTTTGCAAGAGAAGCTAATTGCAGCCAGAAGAGCAACTGCAAACAAAAGTAACGAGAGCAGTGCGATGCCAACTGCTCCTCCCGCGTTAAATGTTGGAGCACTCCGATTGCGGCAGTTGCGAGCCACAGAGCAAGAGCATACAGTTGTGGTCAGCCTGTAAACGCCGTACTGTCCCTGCATGTCTGAAACTTTTACTTTCAGAGAGTAGACACCAGCATACACTCTGGAATCCCTCACCAAGCCAGCTGTGAAACCTACAAGGATGAAACAATGGCTTACTGGAATGTATTGGTTGTGTCGCTGTGACATTCTCTACTTTTTATTACAGTTTTTACCATAAGATGGATCCAGTTTCCATTTTCCCCTGACATCCCCAACAAGCTCAAAGGTGAAAGGCCCTCCGTAGGGAGTCTCATCTAGATCAGTGGCTGAGATGTTGCTGGTAGTCGGCCCATCAGACAAGCAGATTTCCAGATTGTTCATATCAAGTTGTGGCACATTATCATTCACGTCAATGAGGTGAATATGCAGCGTGGCTGTCCCTGTCATTGGTGGCTTCCCTGTTAAAGGTTAAAAATCATGCTTTCAAGAGGAGCTATATACATTTATCATAATAAATGGCTGTATTTACCATTATCCACTGCTTGCACTATCAAGGTGTAGATGTTGTTGACAACGTGGCTGGATTCTCTGTCCACCAACTTTTTAGTAGTGATGTTCCCAGTCTGGGCATCGATCTTCATCCAGCCAGCAGGATCATGCCCTATTTTGTAACTGTTGATAAATAACACAAAATGTGCAAAATAACAATAATAATTAAAAAAAAAATTCTTCAAGCTCCTTTCAAAACATCCAGGGACAGGTTACAATATTCAACAGATTAAGAACAGGACAGCCAATCAGTGATAGGGTTCTGCAAAAACATTAACTTACTTTCTTCATTTGCTTAATATTTATATACAACTGGCATTTTTTTTATTTTATATTAGATAGGCCTACTTCAACATCCATGTATGATTGTGTAAGTCTAGCACCTTATATTTGAAGCAAATTCCTTGTAAATCTATAACCCTACTTGGCAATAGAGGCTTTTCTGATTCTGCTTCTAAAGTTATTGTATAAACCAGGATATTTTATTTTAGAATGTGACCCTTTAATGTTATATTCCGGATATGGGTAATATTTAAATAGCCTAAAATGAATCTCTACTATTTACAAAGTTTTATTTGCCCCAATCAGGACCACTTTATTAGGGATTTTTATTACACAGGTAATGTAAAAAGAGAAAAAGTCCTCAGGTTGTTTTTCCAGTCCCAGTCTGTCCATTCTGCTGAGTATTTTTGACACAGTTCAGTATTTCAAATCTGTTGGCTGTTTTTGCTGCCTCTGAGAAATTACAAGGCTAAGAAAGCGTACACTCTCCCTTCTCTTTAAAATGACCCATGACACCTGTGGCTTATCCTTATGCAAAAGCATATTAGTGCTGTCATTATAAACCATGGAGCCCCAACCATCAAAACGAATTCTTCCTGCACCTTGTTTTAGTAATTATGGAGAGGAGATCCTGCCAATAGGAGAATCTGCTGCTTTCTCTTAGAGCATTGGTCAGTGTTGATGTAAAAGCAGTACAATATTTTTGTTTCTTTAATTAATCTCTTTGAGAATTTTGTCAGCTAATGACCTTTAATGAGATTTCTATAAAAAAGGGGCATACTGACAAATCATTTTTTAAGAGTAAAATGAATAATTATTCATTGTATGGCTTTAGGATTGACACAAAATGGACAGTTATTGAGAGTCCCTGCTCTAACAAAGTTAGCAATAATGTGGCACTCCGTATCTTATGGGCTGCCTGATGTTGATCCTGTTATGAATAGACTTGTTAGATTTTAAATTACTGGTTTCTTAATATGTGAAAAAGCTGTCTGACTTTTTTTCAATTGCAAGCTGTCTTTTTGTCAGATTGAAACAGTCATAACAACTAAATCATCTAAAGATTATAACCCCTAGGGAAAAAGGCCAATTGTACACACATTTACAAAAACAAAACACCACATTACATAAAGTCTCTTGAAGTAGTGTTGTCTGGATCCACAGCGGTCACTTTCTCCACCCAGGTTCCGATCGGTGCGTCCTCCTTCACCGAGGCCTCTTTGACAGTCACGTCAAACTCAGGGGGATCGTTCACATCCAATACCTCAATGACGACTTCTTTGGCATTGTAGCGGATTTCCCCACCACCACTTTGATCATTAGTTATGTCAACATTCCAGAGGCCTGTGGATGGCCGGCTCTTCACTTTACAGGAGAAAAATTCAGCCTCGTTTTTAACAAAGATCTTCAGCTCTCTTTTTGCTCCTTTTTTAAAGTCTAAACCCTGAAATGCGAGATTATTTTAGTTTAAGGAATAACATCCTGCATGTTTTTAAAACTGCATGTTTAATGTATAAATAGGTGTAATAAAAAGCATGTACCAAACCGTTCTCACCTTAACAACAGTCAGAACTCCATCGTTGGTCTTTGTATCAGTCTCTATCTTGAAGTGTCCTTCCTCATCTCCTTGAATGCTATATCTCGCTCTCCAGGCTTTGCTCTGAAACACGTCTTCGTCTGTCACATGGAGACGCAGAGGAGAGAACCCAGTCTCCCTTTCTTTCACTTTGCCGGAGCCCTGTTGTTTGGATTCAGCATGTGGGGTAATACAAAAAAAAAAAAGATTCAATTGGTACAACTTAAACCTATAAAACAATTGTAAAAAAAATTTTTTGCAACACTAATCTGGCGAGTAGGCTGACAGGAAAGGTGGTATACAACAGGGGGAGAGACATGCAGCAAAGGACCACAGGCCAGATTTGAACCCAGGTCAGCTGCATTGAGGACTGGGGCCTCTGTACATGGGTTCTGCACACTAACCCCTGTGCTACTGAAGGCTGCCCCACAAATGTTGGGTTTAACTTATTATCATTTTCTATATGTAGCTGGTACAGCAGTTGAAGATGCGCACCAATTTTTTTTTTATCTTGGTGTTAAAGTATTATTGCATGATCAATTTTTGCTCTAAAAGAAAACTGGATTTTTTTTTTTTTACCCCAAACCTATAAAGAGCCTTTGTTCCTGCAGGGATTAGTCCAAATCCACAAAAACGCTGTTTTCTATATTTTCCTGCATGTTGTCATTTGAAAAAAAAAACACAAACTACATGTTTCTAGATGCGAGGGAATTAATCTGATTTAGTGGAACAACATTCCCGTCATATCTCTGACGTATGTTTGTTGGTGCACTCCTGTTCTGCTGAACACACATGAATCTGTGCTGAGTTCAACTGTGCTTAGCTGTGTCAGACCTAAACATTTTACTTTTATTTTGCAACTTTGTTTTTATTTATCATAAATGACAATCAACTGAGCAACTGGGAATGTGATTTCAAATCTCTATAAGCACCCATTACAGATAATATATATATATATATATATCTGTTGCACTGCTTTTGAGGCTGGATGACACTGTTGACAGGCTGGATTTTTTGTGGTAATCTAATGTTGTTCAATGTTATGTTTAGAAAGAGTTATAAGACAGATGGTTTTATTTTCAATACCGTTGAACCTGAAGGTTTCTGCACAATGGTGTGACAGGTGTTTTAGCACCACCCAACTAAAACCAAGGAACATGTTCAAACGTCCGTTACTATTCAGCAAACTTATCAACTTTGATCCTTTTTTGATTGTAGGATATTTTATTTTTTTTATTTTATTGCTGGTATCACTACCAACCAAACACTGGGCATGTATATAGTGACATCGAAATGGCTTTACCTTCTTTACCATTCTTCTCACTTTTTGCATCGGCAAGATAAATATGTATCGCTCTCCAGCCCAGTGAAAAAAGAATAGGTATGTTCATCGTGCCCATATGTACCTTAGTGCCTAGTAACTTGAATCAACCTCAGATGGTTACGTGTAGATTAAAAATAATAATTGACATTTATTTTAAACATATTGCCATTGTACCCGGAAAAAATGACATATTAGATTACAATTCTTTCTCATTTCTTATTGTTGATTATTTTCCCCTTTGACCGCTTGTACTCAAATTGAAGTTGTATTTATTTTAGAAATTTTGATAATGAGTTTATGCAACTATAAAGAATTTATAGTTCTGTATGCATCTTTGCCTGGATTTATTGTAAACTTCTCTGGCTTTGCAGCATCTTTAAAATGAAAGTCAATTAGAACAGCATGAGTCAGAGACAACTTTGTAAAGGGATAAAACTGACTTGTTCCCTAAAGGTTTATTAAAACATAGTTTAGTGCGCATAATGTCGAAAGCAATGCCTACCTCAGACCTACAAAGGTTAGAGGAAGGGAAAATTTTAATTGTACTTTATCAGGAAAAGAATGGACAAGAATGATTACCTACCGTTTGACCTGTGAAGACCGGAAGGTGGTTGTTACCGTCCTCTACATTGACAATAACTGTGGTCGAACTGGACAAGCGGACAACCTCCCCATGGTCTATGGCTTCTACCAGCAACGTATACCTGCTGGCCACCTGTCATGTTATATGAGGAGAGTAGCAGAATGGTTGTGAAAAAAAACTAAAATATTTTTCACCGCAAGACTGTAACCCCGCCCAAAGAGAGTAATCAACATTTCCATTCGGCTCACTTTTGTTCCTGTTCTGCAATTGTTTTTTCAGATCTCTTAGACAGTATTTAGAGCATGCATACCCTGATTGCACAACCTGTCATTTCTAATGATTGCTTGTCAGGTGCAGATGAACAAGAAATGCAACATCTGTTTTTGCATTTACAGCTAACTCTTTCTTCAAAGTCTTAATAAGGGAGTGCCTTGCCTCATGATCAAAACAGCCTTTAAAATACAGTGCTCCAGTCTCTTTGATGAAGAATTCAACGTTTGAAGTTTCTGGGGAAACTGATTTGATGGCGTAGTGGAAAGTTGAGTTGGGGGTTCCACTCTTATCTTCATCATAGGCCAGCACAGTGTGGATATGGGAACCTATAAAAGATTATTAAATAAGGGAAAACAATACATTTAGAAATGACTTAAAATGAGGAAGAAAAGCCCATGTCCTTACCTTGGGAGGCATCCTCATCTACTGTAATCTCATAGAGAGATTTTTCAAAGACTGGGGGGTTGTCGTTGATGTCATGAATTATAATCTCAATTCCCAGTCGAGTGTCAACAGTAAAGTCTAATGACTTCTTGGCTTCAAAGGTTAGCTTCAGATAGAAAGATTAAAATAATTAATATGCGTTTACGAAAAACTTGAATGACATTTACATTTTCTTTATAAGAACACAAACCAAGCAGTTTTGCTTCAGTATTTTTATTCATTTATCCCAAGTAATCAATAAAGTGGAACGTCTATAAATCTTCCAGAAATTGAAAAAAAAAAAAAAAATAAAAAAAACGTACAATTCAATTTATTTGTTTGTGTTTCTGAATTAAATGAAGTGTTTTTTATTCTAGAGGGAAATATTAGGAGATGTTGTCAAATATTAAAGCAATGATATCTGCTATCTTGAAGGTAGGTTAAACTTGCCCTATCAAATAAAATAGAGAAATTTGTACAGGAATTAAAAAGAAAAAGGAAGAACGGTACATAAATGGTCACAGACAAACTTAAATTCAGGCAAAGACTAAATGCTTGATTTTTAACAGAAAATGACCAAATATATTATTACCAAATATCTTCTCTTTATTTGGCTTATCCTAGATCTAAAAATACCTGAACTATATACTCTCATTCAAAACTCACATTATTAATTTCCTGCTCCTGAAGGTCAAACCCCATATTATTTTTCTTTATTTTTTTTACTTTTACAAACTCTGCAAAGCAACTTATGATCAAAGTAACAGTCTGTCCAATTCTGGATTTTTGTGACATGATTTACAAGTCAAAGACCCTTTTTCATTAACTGGATGTTATTTACCAATGCTGCTATCCATTTTGTTGCCAGCGCCTCATAAGGCACGCACCACCATCTCTCTTCCTGGTTGAACTGGCCTTCTCTCTTTTATCAAAGGTTAATTGACTGGTACTTGCTTGTTTTTAAAACTATAACCAGAAAACCATATCATAAATGAAAATATATGTGTCCCTAAATCCATAACCTTATTTTGTCGTATTTCCTTTTCTGTTGCAGCTAACTGGAATGATCAACAAGAATCCCATAAAGTCACATCTGTTCCCTTCTCATCCTGTAGTTAATTTATCAGTGAATTCGGCAAGATATTTTTTAGATGCTTTGCATCTTTTATAAATATATGAAACTTTAAAGCTTTAAATACATACTACGGTATGTATAAATTTGTACCCAATAGTTGAAAGTTTTTATAACCCTTGATTTAAAGTTGTCATGTATAGATCTGGACTTATATATATGGACCTCCAACACAATTCCCCTTTATACTACATATAAGTTTGTCAAGCTTTTGGTTGACATTTTTGAAATTTAGATACCATTGAATGCTTATGCAAAATAACTAAGTTATATACTCTCGTCGGCTAGTCATTGGCTTGGAGGTGGAGCGCTGTTGCAGGGCTTAAGCATGTAACCATGTCTTCTCCCTCTTTCGGATCCCATTTCCAGTCTGTCTAATTTCAAATAATAATAAAACAAAGTACACTAATAATAATCTTTATGATAAAGGAATTAGAATTCCAAGATTCTAAGTTTGATGTGTGTCAAGACAAACCTTGAGTACTTTGTGCTTCTCGTAGTCCACGGCCTTTTTCACAAAAATTTCACCGCTGTTCTTTTCAATGAAAAAAACGTCCTTTGGTTCCTTGTCCACCCCTTCGCCATGCAGGTCGAAAAACACTTGATATTTGCTGTTAAGGTCCACCTGCAATCATTACTATTTTTAATACACTTTTTAAATTCCTTCATACCTCAGAAAATTGCCCTGACATAGAAAAAAACCATCAGGGTTAAAGAATGTTTCCGTATCTTAATTTTTTTATTTTTTTTTGTAAAAATATATATTTAAAATGTTCTGATGATCCTGTGTTCCAGCATTTTCAAGATGAGCATTGCCATATTTTTACACACAGCCAGACCAGTTTGTCTAGGTATTCTTACCTTGCCCAACGAGTAAGGAAAGGGCCCCGGGTGTCCCTCTTCCATCTCGTAGGAGTCGATGATCCAGTCTCGTTTCTGGCGGCTGTGCACTTCTGAGCATGTTACAGTTTGGACAACAAGTATCTAGAAGATAAAAAAGCAAGCTGAACCTGAATGCCATTGAAAGGTGTGTATTCAATGATCATTTTTGCTCTGCTAGATGGTTTGATTATAAATCAGCCTCCATTGATGGAAAAACAAAAGGCTTGTATGAATTTTTTTTTTCTATGAATAAAAACTAACTTCTTTAAAGGTTGCAGGTCAGTGTAATTAGAAACAAGCATTCATTTTTGCCAAAATTCAAAACCTGCCTGTTTAAAAAATTTGCTCAATGAAAAGCAATAATCAAACCCCCAAAATACCTCAGGTAAAGTTGAAGCCTGAGAGTAACACTTGAAAAATATATGGTATAAGAATACATGACCTACATACCAGCAGAGTGAAGAGGAGCATGGTGCTGGTTCACTGCGCGCAGTGCTGAGATTGAGTATGTGCAGACAGACTTCTGTAGAAAAAGACCTTGCCTCTAGCTTTCCACACCTACAAGCTGCAGATGACAGTGACAAAAGCCGCTCACAGGTGTCTCATCAGGTGAAACTTGTAGTTTTGGCAGCTTTTAATTTACAGCTTTCAAGACGTCACAGTTAAGGAATCTGCTCCGATCACTTTTTTGTGTACATATGTATGTGTATATATATATATATATGTGTGTGTGTGTGTATATATATATATATACATACAGATTTACAGAAATACTACACATTTTAACTTAACATGAACAACACAAAGCAACATAATATTGTGAAGGAATATTATGTTTGTTTTGCAAATTTTCTAAAGCATAAACAGATACGATGCTAAACGAGTAGCACGGTTAGCTATGGTTACATCTGCAAGCTTTCTTACATCTTTCTTTATGATGTTTCTCCTTGGCTCCATCTCTGCCCTATTCTGGCTCTACCTTTCTTATACCTCATCCAAAATAGTTAGTTGTCCTGAGTTATTTTCTTTTTTTTTCTACTGCTATATGTTTGGTCTTCTAGATCACATTGATGCCACGTTTGCTTATGTCCTTCATTCTATCTCTTTTCTCCCACTCTACAGTATTTATCAAGTTCCACTCATAACTATACTATAATAGGAGCGTAATCTCTTCTGTTCCTGTTTGGCTGTGACTCTATCCTGGGTTAAAATATGAGCTCTACTGCTACCAGCGATGTCTCGGTATAGAGATGTTGGCCATAGGCCTGTTTCTAGTGTAGTCCTGTTTATTTTATTGTGTCCAGCAGAATTGGCTCAGATCTCATCTCCTTGGCTGTGTCTTTCCTGGACAGAAACACCTGTGGGGCTAGTTAACAACTAGTTAACCTTTTATGTCTCCGCTTCTCTGCAGGGAATTTTTATCTGTATATTGCTGCTTTTTGTATGTCTGTTGGAGGAGCATGTCTTGGTGGTCAATCACTGGATGCAATCAGCTAGTCTTCCTAACCAATCTGACAGTATTGTCTCTGTAAAGTGCCTTGAGACGATATGTGTTGTGAATTGGTTTTATGTAAATAAATTTAATTGAATTAAATTACAAGGTTAGCTTATCTATATATATTCCATTTGTTCTCTGGAAATCAAGCTTAATCAGTTCTGGTAAAGAGTATTTGTGATAAGTTATTCAAAAAAATTTTTTTGAAATCCACTGGACTTTGTTTCCAAGTTTTGACGACGTTTTGCTTCCTATCCAGGAAAGTTTTTCAATTGAAAATGTCAGGAATAGCATTGAGTTTTAGGTTTTATACAGTAGCGCAACAAATGCTTGTTTTTGTTTTGAAAATATGAAAATTGGAACAGACGAAGGGGGTCCACCCATTTGTAATGGGGTTTTTTTGTAATTGGCTTCTTTTGTTAGACTGCAATACCACATACCCATCTAGGTATCTGAAAGGTCGGTCATTAAAGGGGATTTTTGGACTGGCTGAATAGACGAGGTCCTCTACTCTCCTGTACAGTGTGTGGGGCTGCAATGATAACGGGAAGGGATTAATTTAACAGGTGCATTGTAAGTTTTTGGAGTCCACCACCTCTTTTTAACGTTTTATTCTTTCTTAACATAGACGGCTTCCTACAAGTATTTGAGATAAGTATTTTAGAGTTCTGCAGAAATTTTATAGTAACATTTAATTCAGGACTCTGTCTAGATCATTCTTACACATGGATATGCTTTCCTCAGAAACAGTCCAGCTGTGTATTTAAGTCTGTTGTTGCCAGAAGATAATCCTTCACGCTGAAAAATAGTAATGTTTTGTTTTCTTTCTGACAAAATGCCTCCCCACAGCATGATGCTCCCACCGCCAGTTTCACAGTAGGGTTGTTTTTTTTGTGTGATGTAGAGCTTTTGCCCTGTACCTCTCACAATTTTTTTTTTATGTTATACAAAAAGTCTTCCACATGATTGCCTTTTCTCCTAAATGGCTTGTTGTCACCTTTAAACTTTCAGTGGTTTTATTGTCACAATGGTTTCTTCTTACAAGGCTCCCATAGGCAAGTTTTTTAGATAGTAAACGTAACAAGAACTGGTCCTTATTAGGAGTAGCTTCTCCAGAGTTAAAATTGAAAGTTGCTTCCTTACTGAATCTCTTGTTAACCTCGTTAGGTGGACTACCCAGGCTTGGTGGCTTTATTTCCTGTAATCTCTCCATTTTGAAGACAAGTTACTTTTACTATTACTTTTCACTTATTTTTCCTTCAATATTTTTCCCTCATTTAGTTATTTGCTTGTTTGGTTGTTGTATCTGTGTAGGATCCAGGACCTCTGAGCAAGGATGGAAATCTATTCAGTTTGTTTATTGAATCTGTTAGTTATATTTGTTTAACCAAAATGATCACTAAACAGATTTACTTTAAAAAAAAGAATACCCCAATTTCTTTTCTTTCACTCTGCACTGTTGATCCCTGCTCAGATGATGGCATTGTGAACTCCTAAACTCTTGTGAATTTCTACTGCAGTGTTTGAGATTAGCCTGAGGCAGATATTTGTTCATTGAGAACAGCAGTCAAACATATTCTCACATTCATCCAAGACATTTAAAAAAAAAACTAATGAAACAGCTTCATTTATTTTATCTTTATTCCTAGCAGAACACAAGCTGTAAAATTCACTGTTAAACAATTTATTGTTTCTTTCTGCAGCATCTTTTTTTTTTCTATATGCAATTTCTGATCATCAAACTTCTTTCATGGTTTCATAATACTGTACCAAAATAACTGTTTTCCACAATAAAATAAAATAAAATGACAATGTAGAAGATCAGTCTAATGAGAACAAGCATATTTACAATTGGTGGTCATTTTTTTTCCAAAATGTCCTCTTCTGGCTGAAGTCTTCTCTGCTGTACTATCCATACACAATTATTCAGCACAAGATGATTCTTTGCAACAAGAGTGTACACTCTGAATTTTCTTCTCCACTCCTGGTGAAACGCCCCTCTTCTTCTCTGTGCTGTTTTCCTCTTCCTCGTCTGACCCAACCAAAGGCGTGTCCCCTCCATTGATGTTGGCGACCTGGCTGTCAGAGGAGCAATCTGAGGATGTGGAGGACATGCGGGACTTGCTGTCTAGGCTCTCAAGGACGTGTTGAAACAGCCCGTTCCTGATGGCCTCCTCATTGCTGTTGCTGCTTGCTTGTATTTGGAGTCATAAAGTGAAATGTTTAAGACATTTAAACTTATTTATTTGGGTTGAACTATGATCCAGTTTAATACCTGGCATTGGGGAGGACAGCACCCCTTCTTCCCCCACAGAGCTGAAGAAGACGTCCACAGGGTCTTGATCAGAGAGGTCAATGAGCTCCATCTGGTCGAGGAGGTCTACATTCACCTCCATTGAGGAAATACTGCCAATTGGAGCTACAGAAAAGGAACATAATTAGTTTAAACATTTAAAGATTTTTGTAGTGCAGAACTCTACTATTAAATTCCAGCTTACGTCTCCTGTAGTCCCTGATGCACAGGTGTGCGGAGGACAGGTATACATCTACTTCATGTTGAAAGACCTCCTCAAAGAAACGCTGCCTCTCTCTAAGCTTGAGCTGCTGTGCTGATTCCATGTCTGGGCGTCTCTGGGTGAGGTCTGTCTCTGCTGGGAGGGCAGACATTTCATACACACAGTTTTAAGGTCACACAGCTTTGTACACTACCAGTAGTAATTTGGCCAGTCAGGTGATGGCACAAGCACTTAAAGGTATAGTGGAGGATGTTGTTTTTTCCCGGTGGATCATCAAAATAAGTGGTCCTCCTAATGGTCAATCATGATGGTGATATCTTTACGTAAGGCCGTCCTATGTGCTCGTCCCCATTTTTACTTACCGGTGGTGAGTCTGACATAGTGGAAAAAATACAAAACCTCCTTTGGAAAAGAAACCTGGAAGAACAAAGCAAAAAACAAACTTTAAAAAAAACCGGCAAGAAGAAAAATGGGCCTGGGCAAGCCCCTAAAAAACGTTTAAAAAGCAATCCCCCCCCGGAACGAAGAAAAGGGGTGGGCAAGGGCAATTTCCTTTTAAAGAAAAAAGGCAGGGCCTTTGACAAAAATCCCACAAAACACCCACAAAAAACAGAAAGAAGAGCTCTCCACGCTTAACACTCTAACCGATGCTCAGAGGCATATAGCCAACAATAAAAAACGAAGGACCCCATGTTCCCATGTATAGCTGTGTCTTCTAGACAGTTAGGTAATGATGCTGACGTTTGTGTGGGATTGCCCTTAAGTCAGCATCTTTAAAAAGGTATTTAGCTTTTGTTCTGGCATTTAATACCAAACGATATTTATCTTAATTACACAAAACCCATCTCAGCTGTGAATGGTTGGATCCATGTAGGCATCACATGCTCTGCTAAGCACAGCTGTTTGTGTGAACTGCAAAACTTCATGCATATTTCAGGACCCTATAAGAGGTGTAAGCCAGAGGAGGGCAACATTGAGCCGTAAGTGAGCCTTAAAATAATCTAATTTCTGATTTTATTAACAGGATGTAAGAAACATAACAATGACAGTGTTGAGGATTATAGATTTTGCATCTATATCAAAGCAAATTTCTTAAATTCCCATATCCATCAATTATCTGCATGAAATCCAAGTTTTACTGAGCTCATCACCAGAAGTTAAAGATGGCCACACTTTGCTTGCCCACACATTTCCAGGCCTGTTCTATAGATTCAGAGTAGAACTGTGACTCCTCTCGCCAAGTTAATCCTTTTTGAGAAACCATGTGATCCAATTTCCTTCCTCATCAGCATCACTGTAATATAAGCCGACTGGAGCTCCAAAGCAGCCAAGTAAAGACTTGAGTTCAGACAGAGCAGTAACATAAATAAGGGGTTCTCTGTTTAAGGCTGCAAATTTTCTGTTAATTTAGAGACAAACTTCATAAATATGCAAGGTATTAGTTGAAGAACAAACATGAATTGAACAATATTCTTCTGTGGAAATTCTAACAACTGTTATCAGTCCAGCTGGATGACAGAGCAGTGTTTGAGCTGCAAGCAGTGATTATAACCTAGCTAACGAGGATTGAACTAATTGGATCAGTCCTCTGAGTCATCTCTAAACTGAAAGTAAATTCAAGCTTTAGTTGAAGCTCTAGTAAGTGGAGGGCCCAGCAATCAGCACCTTAAAATAATCAAGTGAATGCATTTTTAGATAATAAAAAAAATATGTCTTGTGGCAATAAGAAGCAGCTTGTGATCCCAGACTTTCAATCAGGGGCCTAACAATAAGTAAAGGAGCATAGAAAGTGCTGCAAAAACCTCCATCTCTGGAGGAAGAAAGCAGAAAAGCTGATTTAAAAAAAGCAACAGGTTGTCTTGTTTGGTATGCTGCATCAGCACAGTGCTCCCCGTGAGTCATGACCAGGCGCTCATCTTCGATGGAGGCATGACAAGGGCCTGTCAGAGTAGCTCTAAGCTGAACTTAGTGACAGGGTGTTGACAGGGATGGCAATGAGAAAGAGAGAGCTTTAAAAGGAAGACTGAGGATGTTTTAAAGCACCAAGGGTAGTCCCAGCAACCATACATTAGCCTGGTTTATTAGTTTAATAAATGGGGATGTCAATATTTCTATTATCAAATTATCTACACTAGCATTGAAAACAAACTGTTGAAACTGTTAAAGATCAGATTACCACCAGACCAACTGGAAGACATCCACATTTTAACCTAAATGGAATAGGAGTATAGCGCAAAAACAATGGTCCATTGCTCACCTCCTTTCACCCGTTCTTGAATACCCATGTCAAATTAAAACTTCATATCTTTAAAGCGAGAAAGCCTCCCCAGCCATCTTGGCCCCCTGTAAAAAGTATATCTAATCATTTGTTCTGTCTTTAGGTATTTGTGTTACCAATTATCTGTCAAATCGCCCTTAAGAGATCTTTACCAGTTATTCTTTGCATACATGTTTTAATTCACCCCCCTGTAGACTTTGAATAAATAGTATTATGGGATTTCTTCAAGGTCCCAAAGCCCTGAGGAAGCCCTAGACAAACTACTACCTCTTGCCTGTCAGTATGATGTTCTTTTTCTAATATTCTGTTATGTTTTGGTTCAAAGTATTCTTTTCCCTTGCATATTAAATCAGTATTAATATCTATAACAATGTTCTCATATCAAATAGTGTCACTTCGACTGTTATGTGTATGTTAATCAAGTCTCAGTTTAAACATGTTGCTAAATGCACCCATGTGTACCCTTCATATGATAGATAGCATCATATGAAGCATACGAGCATCATATTCCTCGTATAGCAGAAGATTTCACACCCTTAATCCAAAATAACCATGCAGTATTCAGAGGAGGAGTAAATCAAAACAAAATTTTTTACTTAAAATATATGACATTACTTGGTGTTGCTCGAAGGATATTTCATTTCCTCCAATTTAAGCTTGCACAAAAGATTTTACTCAATGTGAAGACAGGAAGCACTTTATCCGCTGTAATTACTAAAGTGTGAGTGCTCTTTTATTGATTATTATTGCCTTAGCATTAATTAATAATTTATCGTTAGGCTCATTTAGGTATATTTCCTTTTATTTTAAGTTAATCAGAATATAGCAGACATTAGCTTTTTTTTTTGAACGATAAATCTTCAGATTTATTATCAGTAGAACATGTTTTTATGCATGATCTGATTTGTTTTTAATATAATGACTATGTCTTGGTGTCAAAAAAAGCCTAATACTAATAGTTCATTTTGAGGGTCATCTCTAATCATTAATCTACAGTTTTTCACTGAACCTTTGCAGAATGTGAAGAGAGCAGCAAAGACAAAACAAGATGTCTTACACATGAAATAGGCCTTCTTGACATGTGACTAAATGTGTACTATGTCCAGCTGACAGTACCGTGCCAGAGATAAGGCAGAGGGTTTGTTTTGGAAAGCGTCTAACCTGAGCTGGATTAAATTGATTCCTTGTAAGGCTGCAGGTTTAAATATAGCTGCTTATCCTGGTTTGTTTTCCCACCCAGTTAAACACTGATTGATCACGTCATTGATTGTTTCCACTTAGAGCTCGATGCCCCTGGGCAGCTAAAGGTTAGCTACAGATGTGTATCCTCACATCGATTTTACTTCCCTATCCACGTTTTTTCCTTTTTTTCTACCACATCAATTCAAACGTTACAGCTTCTCTGGCCACAGACGACCCCACTGACCTCAGAGTAACACAGAAACTCTCATGGGAAAATCTTCAGCCAAAGTAATGATGGGATTACATGCCTATTGTAGCACCACTCTACACAACAGTCATTGGTTTTGTAGTAGATGAAGAGAAGGCTGTGATAGATTTCATTCACTCAGTCTTTTCTAGGTCCTTTTCCCTCTCTACCTTCTCCCTCTTGTTTTCTGCTTTTACAATAGGACTTAAGAAGCAGAGGTCCATAAGATCCGCTGGAAAGGAATGTCTGGAACAGACAGAAACGTTTTTCTCCACTGAAGAAGCAGGCCGGATGTGTCTGCATGCTACCCTGCATCCCCACATAAAGACAAAGTCAGATCTTTGGCTCATGCAGCAGGCAAATAAAGGACTCTTTCAAGACAAACGCAAAGGCAGAGATGTAACAGAATGGGACTGACTTCTCTCCTTCGAGATAATGCAAGTTCTAAGATTGCGTAATTTGGGTTTTTGTCATGGCATATTGAAAAGGGCTATTCAGCCTTAAAGAATTACTACAATTTTAAACAGTGACTGGGTACAGTACAACCATATGGATCCATGTCCATTAAACTTTTTACCATTATTTTATATCATTTTATTATTTGTGTGTTTAACTACAATTCTATACCATACATTTTGCTTTTTTTTTGTAGTATCTGAAAAGTGTGGAATGTTTTTGTATTTATGCCCCCAGAGTCAATATCAAACCACATTTGGCTGCAGTTACAACAGAGAGTTTTTAGGGTCCATCTGTCTCACATGTAGAGACAAAAATTCTGATCCAGATTTCTTTTCCAGATAGCTTCAACAAATCTATAATATTTATATTAAGAACACAAATTGAAAGAATGATTATAAATTAGATTAAGGTCTAAACTTTGACTGGGCTGACATAAGTATGATTGTGATTAATTGCAGCTCTAGTTTATTGTCCTGTTGGAAGATGAACTTCCACATCAAGTCTTTTGCTGCATGATCTTGGAATGGCTTTGAATTGTCAGCTTTCGTATAAGTTTTGCAATACTGCTTCCAATTTCAGACAGTGGGGAAAACACCACCTTTAAAGAATTCGACACTTATAGGGGATAGAAACCCTATCCAACTTTACACTCTTCCTCAACTTGACTTTATCAGCTTGGTCAGCACTCAGTGTAAATGGTTATGTTGGAATTCAACTAATAGAGACGATAATACAACTACTACTACTACTACTACAACTACTACAATTAATAATAATAATTCTTATAATAATAATATTATTAATAACAACAGCTGGAGAAAGGCACCAGAACCTGCGCGACCCCAGCTGTGATGAAGCGTGACAGAAAATGGATGGATGGATAGTAATAATGAAAATAATAATAATGTTATTATAACAATAATAAGGCCTTAGTGTAAATGTATGCCACACTTTTCAGCTTTTGTTTCTACTGAATTTCATTTACACCTTGCCTTGTATGGATCAATTGCATGAAATCAAACTAAAATACATTACAGTTTCTTGTTGTGACAAGAACATTTTTGAATTGAATGGGTGTGAATATTCTGGGAATCTGGGACAGTAGAGTAGGCACCCTTTTGTTTATGTTAGCGTGTAAAGCCTGAATTATGTTTTTTTCTGTGCTGTGATGAGGATGGAAACATAAAAGAGGTCAGCATGTCATCTAAGGAGCGGAATTCACTATCCCTTTATGATGCTGGATCATATAGCAGTCAACTAAATCTGATCTCTTCACAGCACAGTGTCGAGTACATGTACCTAAATGAAAAAGAGAAATCAGGTCACTCTTCCTGTCTGTTTAATATCTGGATGGCACGTGTTTCTCTCTTGGGTGGCGGTGGGGGGGGTGTCAACTGCCCACTGAGCTACCCCCGTTTAGAAGCGTCAGCTGCCCAAACATCAGCAGTAAAGCATTGATTCCAGGGCTAAATGAGGGGATAAGAGAGCTCAGTGTCACCCACAGGCAGTCATTAGGGCCATCAGTGAGCTGAAAGAAAATGTGAGCTCACAAGAAGCTCCCCTGTGATGAAGAGAAAGAAGGTCAAGGAAGTGCAGAGAAGTACTTCTAACGAAACATTTTTTCTTTTGTTTTGACGTGTCATCTTAGAAGTTAAACTTCTGGTGAAAAGACTAAAACCGCCTCTGGAAATAATTACTTTTTTCTCCACTTTGATTATAAAGTAGTTTGCTACATTCCTTCTTTGGTTCAGTCTAAGCCAAGTTATTTGCTAAAAGGTGGTTTCCCAGCCCAAGTGAATGAAGTAATCCCTGTTTAAATAGCACTTATCCAGTACATACAACCAAGTATTGCTTTACAAATACCCATATAAAGAGCAGATTGAAAAGAAAATATTTTAACCTCTTTCATCCCCTGCTTTTTAAACAATCTCTTTAGGTTGTACTCAGTAGGATTGTTTTCCTCAGTTCCCCCTCTCCTATACTCTCTAAAGTCTTCTGTAAAAAAAAAAACTGATGTGGAGACTGAGATGACCATAAGAGAGCATTGATTTGGCCCTATGTTATAGCATAGTGATGGTGTCAGAAGGTTCCTATATGCAGGACCCCCACTTCTGATGGTGAGCCCCAAGGCACTTGTGGCTACAGTGTAGCTTACCAACATCCTTGTATGTCTATGTGTGTGAATTAGCGAATAACTGAAAGTATTCTAAAACCCTTTGGAGTGCCATGACTTGAAAAGATGCAATATACAGTAGGTGCAGGCCATTTGCCATGTGTTTTGGATCATTATCATGAGCCTGTTAACAGATCCAATAATTACCCATTCTAGGTTTGCAATATACCAACAGGACTTTTATTTTGAAATGCATTTTAAAGTTTTCTGTCCTTTCATTGAAAATCTTTCCAGGCCTTTAGGGGAAAAAAACAGTTCCACAAAATCCTTTATTCTCCACTTTATTGAATGATTGGTTTGAGCTGCTCAATCTCAATTTGCTCTAACTGAAGCACATTCAGGTCCGACCAGCATTTAGCAAGCGGTATACTAATGTAAAACTCTTTGATTGATAACGCCTCTACCTGTCAACATGTGGTTGGAGGTTGGTTGAGGACCCAAATGCAGAGATGAGGGAGGCAGAAATAAGCTCTTGCAGGTTTAATGAAGTAACTAAGGAAAAATCCAAAAATACAAAAGAACCAAACAAACAGAAAACATCAGGAAAAACTCACATGGGGAACAAGAGACGAGGGAGCATCAGAACAACAACAAGGAACCAGCATGGAAGAACTGCACAAGAAGAGTATATATTAGAGACAGAACAAAGACTTGGGTTATCAACTGATATGGAGCAGTTGTTAATGGAAGAGACTAGAAGGGAGCTAGGGGAAAGGAGAAAGGCACAATACGGTGACATAGTCACTAAAGACTGACTTAAATATAAAACAAAATGGAAAACAAACTAAAGATCAACAAAACAGAATAACTAAGATGACTAAAAACTACAATCCAAGAGGGGTAAACCATAACACTACAAACCTGCTCAATGAGAATTACAGCAAGATGTACATGGGTGGGACTTCCGAATTGGAAAAGTCTGTTTTATTTCAATATTAGTTATTTAGTAAAAACTAAAAACTAAGATTTATTTAAAAATATAACAAATCAAAAATTAAAAAGTACATACGTCTTAACAGTAATTATTGACTTCTTCAGGTTGAAAAGAGAGTTACTGTGTTTTTATATATACCGGTATCTTTTTTTACCCCAAATTAACAATCTACCAAAAAGGAAAGTTTTGAATATCTTTTTGGTAGATTATTACAAAAAGTGGATATAATCTAAAGCTTTTTACACATCTCTTACACTTTTTTCTCTAAAGTTATCTAATTACAATAAATAGATAAGTGAATTATCTTTCCTGCAGCTTCTTAGCCTGTCTGCACCAGTGACCTCTAAACACAGGGGCCTGCCTCAGGGGTCAGTTTGAGGTTTAACAAATTCAGATTCAAATCCTCAACTCTAAATTGATCTAACCTAAATCGGGAACTCTGAGTGTTCGGTTTCACAATGGCTGCTATCAACTAGTTCAATCAATTTTAACCAGGTCCATGCAGAGTTAAGCGCGTGCGCAACAAGTATGAAAAGCAATTATCAGTGGAGCACTGATTTGATGAGTCACCATGACAAAAGTCAACAAGAAGTGCCTATTTCACCTCACTGAAACTNGTTTAAAAGACAGAGAAACAGCGCTACAGCTACAAAGGAGAGGAAGATGGAGAAGATTATTCCTTGAGTTAATGCTTAAGTGTATATGAAGTGGGAAGGCAGTTTTCACAATTATTAAAAGCCCTCCTCTCTATTGTTCTATTTTACTAAAATAAGATTCTTTCTGATCAAAATCACACTTCTAAATTACATTTTTGTAGCAGAAACTGAATTTCAGAAAGTAAAAAAACAAAACTAGTAAGGATGTTACTAGTAACAAGACTAGTAAGAATTAAGCTTTATATATCTAGAAAACTTTGACGGTTAAATGGCCATTCTGAAATTTATCAGCTTGACTGAAAATTTTTTCATAGTTAAAATAATGCAAATGCTGACCAGTGTGTTAGAAATATGGAGATCTGAAATTAATGTAATGACATCCAGAATCTTTATTGTAGATGTGTAGAAGCTCATTTTGTTTGAAATGATCATTCAAAGTTTGTTTTAAATCCTAATGTGTGTAACATTCCAGTGAATGATATAAATGTATATATATTTTATACTCAAAACTACGACAAAAATCTGACTAAATCAGAAAATAAAACAAAATTATTGGCTGTAATGAGAGTGGAGACAGCGGATACAAGTTTAAAGAAGAAACCCTGCCAGGTTAGATGTGGAGTCAATGTTACTACGGTGACTGAAAAAGATTAAGGGAACTCTCTTTGTGAATCGGAAAAGTCAGAGTTTCCCTGTTTTCAGGTTTGGAAAACTTAGAGTTTTCGGTAAACCTGCCTCGTGAAACGGACCCCAGGGGAAAACTGAGTAAACTGGGCATCCTTTCCAAAACCCCTCATAGGTTCTTGCAACAAGGGAGGGTAGAGATGCAGGCCATGACGCAGTATCTAAGTATAACTTTCCACTGCACTGCACTTCCTTTCCACATTCCTCAAAATAGGGTGTGGCAGTCAAACTATTAAAAACATGTTTTCCAGGGTTCTTTGAACTCTAGATTGTCTACTTAAGCCCTAGCCCTAAAAAGGCCTTGTTTACAAGAATCAAGTTGCAAGGTTTGTGAATTATTCATTAGCTGCTGATGCTTTGTTATAAGTGTGTTTTTCAGCTGGTGTATTAGCTGAGGCTGTTTGCTGGGACAAAGCTGCATCCATCACCGTGCATTGACACTGACATCATCAGTTTAAAGCCTCTCTTTCATTGCACCATGACCCACAATAGGACTGTTTATAGGTCATTGTCCTGTCCCACTAGCCTCCACATGTCTAGCAGCAGACTGTCATGAGTTCTGATTAACACAATAGGCTTTACCAGATGATAACGCACTGATCCACGGTTCTTTCCCACACTGGCAAATCCTCTTACACAGAACGGTTACCCCTGAACAGCAGAAGGGTGGCATTTTTCATCTTTTTAAAGTAAAGTGCATTGAAGCTGTGGGGCAGGGTCTGCAAAGTTTATACACTCACTGGAGTTTTTTTTATAGTGATAATTCATCTAGATATTCCAAACAAGAGATTTTTTATACCAAGCAGTGATGTGAAAATATTGATTCTCCTTTACAGATTTATACTATTACTACTTTCTGCCACACTGAAATGCTTCAGCTCATTTAACATTTTAATATAGGACAAAGATATCTTCAGTAAATACAAAAAAAATCGACTCAATATAAAAGAAAGAAAGCTATCCACACTATCCAGATTTTATGTGAAAAGCAATTATACCTCTGAAGCGATTACTGCAGGACCTGTAGATTTAGGAAATCCCTTAAATACAAGCCGTCTGAAATAACAAAGCAAGTTGAAATACCTCGTGAAAATAGACAATGCCTTGATCCAAAACAAAAATTGGAAACCCTCCAACTAAGATTAATTTTAAACCATTCTACAAATAACAGGAATGTAAAAGGCTGGCAGTTGTCACAAAGATTTGCTTGTCCCAAAGGTGGCAAAACCAGTTAATGGGAAATAACTTCATGTAGCTTTTCCATGTTTGTTTACTTGGATTTGGAGGGTTTGAAGCTCAATATTTCAACTACAGAGATTTAAACCAACATGTAGCAATCTTATGTAATTAATATTCTTGAATAGAAAAAAAAACACTTAATCTCATGGTTAATGAAAACTAAGTCTTTGATTTTCAAAAGTTTTTTTTTTTTTTACAGAACTATTAAACTGATGGCTGGGATTACATACTTTATATTAGAGCAAGAACTGTAAAATAGAGAATAATAAGTGCAATAAATTGTAGGGAAATTTTTCAAGGATTAAATTCAAAACATATCACTTATGAAAACTAAACCATAAGTGTTTAGAGAGGGTGCTCCCACTTCTGCTTTTTCTCAATAACTATTATTGTTATATTATTCAATCACTGCTGCACTTTAAAGAATGGAAATGTTATGGGATTGCCCACCAAACCAATATATAACTAACACCAAGAGAGAGTAAAGGTGCCAATGTGAGAGGTTTTGCTGTTGAGATTGATTAGTTGCACAACATTGAAATGAAAGTACCATCTTTTAAAATGAGGCTCTGCAAAAATTGTATATATTCTGAATATCTTGCTTTTGGTTTATAAATCTCCTGCCATTCTTCTGGGATGTTTAATAGGAGGAGAGGAGGATGAGGGAATGAATATGATACTACAGGCACTCATGGCAGGGCAAAAGACGAAACTAATCAGACATCCGTCACAGCTGAAGTCACACTACATCATATTCACAGAGATCTTTTTTTTTTTTTTTACATTGCTTTGACTGGAGTCATCCTTGGTTATAAGAGCACTAAATCACCAGTGTGTCTGATTACAACGAAGAACTACACATTATGCATTTTAGGTGTTTTACACAGTGCTTGTAACCATCCATATTGTTTTAGGAATTTAGTTTAAGAATTGAAGGATCTAAAAAAAAAAGAGATGCTTAAATATCTCAAGTTAATAACTGAGAATTGTACAACATGAAAACATACAATCTCTTTAAGTTGGATATCAGTAATTTTGTGAGGTATTATGTACTGTAAGTATTTTTTTGTTTTGTGTCTCAGCCGGAGCCTACTGAATGTAACAACAGGACCAAATTAATCTAAAATACATTTTCAGAATCTCCTTTCCAAATAAAGATTAATTCAGAAGTACTTTGTTCAAATATAAACAAGGCAACCTAGCATTTTAACCAAACACAGATTAATCCCTCAGGCTTTCATCTGTCCAAGTCAAGTTTTAAGGTTGCATCTCTTTCTTTTCCTTTGGACATTTTTAAAAAAACAAATTAAGCTGATTCAAATGCACAGGCTTGCAATGTTTAAACTTTGTTACTATTAATTTTATTAAGACATTCCTTCATGCCTGTTGAGCTGAATTACACACCATGATTAAGCACTTGGCTGCTGCAAGGAGTTGCTTGACACACAGCAATTAGGAAATGAGTATAATGCAACCATTGATCCAGGTAATCCTGGTTGTTACAATAATTTATACAAATATGTCTGAGAATTTGCCAGGAAAAGAGGCCAGCTATTTCTTTTTCAGCCATACTTAAAAATGCATTGTACATCTAATCTAATGCATCTAATATTTCCTGCTAAAACCTGCCTCATAGGTAGTAATCGAGACCAGAAACTAGGAATACAGTTATTATTAGGAATCTCCTTGTCAACATGGGGCGTGAGGTTGCTTTAGGACCCAAAAGCAGAGATTAGTGAGACATAGAGGAGTTATTGTTGGTTTAGTGAAAGACTGAGGCAAACATCCAAACACACAAAAGATACTGAGAACCAAACAACCTGCAAACATCAGGGAAAACTCACATTAGGAGCCAGAGACGAGAAAGCAACTAACAACAAGGAACCAGCACTGACAAACTGCACAGGGAGAGTATTTATGCGAAACAGAACAAAGACTGGGGTAATGAGATGATATAGAGGAGTTGTGGATGGATGTTACTAGAAGTTAACTAGGGGAAATGACACAGGCACAAGGGGGCAACAGAGAGTAACTTAAGACTGGCTTAGATATAACACAAAATGGAAAATAAACCAAAGATGAACAAAAAGAATTACTTA